TTTGCCACGACCAGATGTGATCACCTCACAGCGTGGTAAGTTTAGAACAGCTAACAATATTTTTGGCAGTGACTGAGCACTAGTACAATCATCGTGATGCTTTAGCATCATAGACCGCCAGTGCCCGCATTGTTTTTCGGCAAGCGAGCGACACCAGAGCCGAAATGCCGCATCTAGCTCTGCAGAACTCTTCAGAGTTACACTTTGCGGATACGAATGGAATGGCGGGATACGAATAGCATGACGTCCCAAGACACTGACTAGTGAGTGAGTTCAATGGTAGAGTCGACCTCAGAGACGAGAGGTTACTTGGGAGCTGTGATCAATATCACATAAAAGACGTCTTCTCCCACGCTTCAAACTGAATCATCACACTCATCACTCCACAAGCATCACAACAGCTTTACAATCAACACTCTCACACACAACAACAACACCAATCTATCACCATGAAGTACAGCACCGCTCTCGCTTTCGCCCTCTCGGCCTCTGGTGCTCTCGCTGCCCCTACCACATACGCTGCCCCAGCCGACGATGGCACAAAGCCCTCCCAAAAGGTCTGCACGGCCTACCGTGCATACAGAACATGCCAGGGCCAGCCAAGCGCCAACCAGTCCTTCTGCGCTTCCCAGTTCGCCGGAGCCGCCCAGGTCCAGCCATACGAGGGCTCCGGCAAGACTACTTCAGTAGCCCCAGATGTCTACTTCGCCAACCTGCAGAAGAACTGCCCAGCTGCCCAGCCTAAGCCAACATCTTCTGCTGCTCCAGCACCATCCAAGACCCCAGCTGCCCAGCCACCTGCAGACAAGCCAGCTGACAAGGGCTACGGTTCTTACGGTACCTACGAGAAGTACCCAACCCACTACGCAAGTGAGTATTAGTCCATCTCGAACATTTCATGTAACAATTATTAACGACGATCGATTAGGCTACGGAAAGTACGACTACAAGACCTACCAGAACTACGGATCGTACAAGAAGGAGTAGAATTTGAATCGATAACGATTCAACAAGCATGATAGAATATTGACTGGGATTTCTGGCGCATAATTGCATAAAGCGATGCATTGACGATCTTTAACGAGCTTGACGACAAACCGAGCAACGACCCTCATTGGCAAATAGAGTAATGCATAAACAGCATGTATATATAAAAGTAGTGGAAACAGTTTCACAACCTACCTCGATTTCACACATTCCCTTCCCAACAAACCTTTTGAGTTTCTGGATATTCTGAGACATGCGGCTGTAGTGCTCACTCAGCTCGAGTCTTTTTATCATCAATACTAATCACTCAGACCGCTGCTTTGCGGTTTTTATGCAACTCGCAAAACATGTTTGCCGTTAGCCGAGCTATACAGCCAAGTGTGGAATAGTGTTTGCAAGTGAATTCACCACGGATGTGGAGGAAGACTTGGCTTTTCTATTTTTAGCGGACACGATCCAGCCACCTCACTGCTCACATATTCGCCTCCAGCTGCATAATGTATCACTAACCTATCGGAACCCAACAGTGACATCGACATCACATGCGCTGTCATCGCCTCGCCATCAGCAAAACTCTCCGCCGGCGTTGATGTAAGACCTACGACCTGAATCTTTTGGACGACTACAAATTTTAGCTGGCTATTGAATTACTCGAAACGATAACTGTCTTTTCAGGCTTGCAATTTGCCCAACCCAGTCCCAGAGACGCTCCTCATCGTGATCATGAGCCACTTCATGTGGGACACGCGGATCTCCTTAGGCGCGATGGAAATCGCAGTGTTGCCATTCTCAGTTACTTACACCTAAGCACGAGCACAGTCTGCAGGCGACATTCAACATTCTTTGCTCCCAGCTGCAATGCCCATCTCATCTTGTGAGCTCCGGTGTTAAAGCACAGCAGTTACTTCCGGCGTTTCTGACATGGGAACTCACGAGAGAGTTCTTGCTGTGGCAATTGTCATGACAACAAAGCGATTCAAAAGCCGGAGCCATGATATCAATATGGAGCTATGTAGACGAAAGCGTTGCTGCGTACAAGTCTAGTACAATCACATAAGCTGTTCACCAGATCGTTTCGACTCAACTTGGCACTTTAACTATCGGCTACGCAGCCCTCACTGTTCACGGGACCCGCCCAGGAACTTAGTCTATGCCAAAACTTTCCGAAGGGGGCTAACGGGTCGATGAGGCCGATGAGACTAGACTTACGTGAGTGTGTCCAACGACACCACTCTGGCCTCTTACAATATATGCGCGTAGCTTCTACACAGATGAGACATCGTGCAACCTGCGGTTACCCTATAGCAGCATCGCGAGCGCGAAAAGCTCCATTTTTAATGCGCACACAACGATCTCAATAGAACAACTTGTCTTTACAGCTCTTCTCTATCTTTCCCTCAAGCGCTGTGCCAAACGTTCCTCAACCCACAAACCACTCTGTTCTGCGCGACAAACTCTACGCCGCCGAGCCAGCAATACTACTTCTCCCCGCCCCAGTCCCTGCCCCTCCACTCACACTTTGCGCAGCATAGCTCCCAGATGCACTCCTCAAATGATCATATCCCAACCCCCGACTAATCCTCAACCTCTGACTAGGATCCAAAACTTCCTGACAAGACTCAATATCATCAAGTGTGTCATTGAACACATCAGCCGCCATGACAAGCACCATATCGCGATTCCAATTGCCACGTTCCCGCCAGATCAAGTCCATGGCGCGAGCACGAATCTGTTCCATCTGCTCAAGTGAAAGCCCACTACTGCTGTCCACCATGCGCTGCAGAACGATTTGGAATTTCTCCTCGGTGACGATCAGTCGTTCGTCCGCTCGTTGCATCTCGGTCGTGTCTGCATTTGCTTCCTCGTCGTCATTGTTGAGAAGCGCGGAGACGGAGGACACTCGGTTTTTTGGGCGAGGCGGCGGGCCGAGCGCTTGTTGGACCGGCGCAGCTGTCGATGTGGGAGCCGCGTTCGGGTCAGGTCGTGCATGCCCAGTATTGATCGGCGGCGACTCTGTAGAAGGAGGCAGTGTGTTGGGATAATTCTGGCTGCCAGATCCTGAGTCGTATCCAAAGACATGAAAGTTTGGATGATCCCCTGGTCGATCGATGCCATTTGTAGGAAGTGAGAACGGTCCACTGCTGCGATCGCTTGACTTTTCGCCAGAAGTGTGGTTGCTTTGCTGTTGCTGGGGAACAGGCTGTGAAGCGCCATGAGCTTGAGATTGGCCAGTTGCTGGCGTGAACACGGGCGGCTGAGATCCGAGCATGCTCTGCTGCGAAAGCGGCACATTTTGTTCATCATGCTGCACGTCTTGCATCTCCGTGTCTTCTCCTTGACGCTGATTACTCGCATGAGGCGATGGACCGCTGCCATTTGTGCCAGCAAATGGAATAGCGTCCGGGTTGACTCCCGGTACCCTACTCGGCGTGGCGAGCAAGCGACGCTCTGGGAATTGTTGACCTAGCATGATCGGGCCGGAATCTTCGGTAGTCGTCTTTGACGGGTCGCCAACAGGCCCTACAGGAACGTCGATCATCGGTACAGCATCGCCCTTATGGTGCGCTTCTTGAACCTTCGCGAGACGCGCCCGTTCACGTGCCTGCTCGCGTTCAAATACGCCTTCGCACTCGGCGCACAGTGCCGGTTGCTGTTGTTCCAAGGTTCCCATGTCGACTTCGACATTAGCAAGCATTTCATTGGCCTTGAGCAATCTGTCTCCCTCCCCGAATTGCTTGGCATCTTTCGACAAGCGTTTGATATCGGCAAGAAAGTCCTTGGGACGCTTGTAGTAGCCATTGGATAGACGCTTCTCAATCGTGACAATGTCGAGATTGTAATAGAACTTGTCTGTCGCTACTTCTCTCAGCCCGGGCACTCCTTTGTGATCCTTAGCAACTTCAAAAGGCCGGAACAGAGCTTGCTGTTGTCTTTGTTCTTCGGTAAGATCTGTCGTCAAGACTTTTGGATCGGAATCGTCAAAAAGATAAGCAATTTGAGTCTCCTCGATCGGTGGGTTTCTGAACTTCTTGTACTTCAACTTGATCTGTTCCATCACGGGGCCAATGTGAAGCTTGAGGATGTTCAGCGTCTGATGGTCCTTCCGCTTTTGCGCTTTGAGCTCCGCTTTGCTCGGTTCCGCAGCTGTAGCTGTGACTGGCACTGGTGCTTCGGGAAGTACATCAAGCTTGCGCTTCTTGCGTTGATCGGGATCAGGGAGCTGATTCGGTGCTCGGCGGATGAACTCAAGGACGGCATGCCAGTACTCGCGTCGTGCAGACTCATCAGGCCGGTCAAGCTCGTACTGGTCTTTCCTGGAATAGCCAAACAAACTGCGAAGCAACTCTGGGTCTGTCTTCTCGTCATGCGTTGCTTGCTCTAGTATTCCAAGGAGCAAGATGGGGTCGGTTGGTGACAAGCTACGGAGAAGGCCGATAAAAGTCTTCTTCACTGGTTCGGCGACAGTGTCCCACCACACACTCACGTTGGGGATATAGATGACGCTAGGCTTATGGCGTTTCACTTCTTCGAAGAGTTGAACGACTGCAGCTTCGGGAGACTGAGAGCAAGTTAGCACCTTCACCGGCATTTAGTATAGTCACAACTCACCCTAGTGGAATCCTTCATCAAAGTCGCAAGATCGAAATTCTGCACATGTAGACCTTCAAACTTGCTAAGCAAGGCGGCGCCAAGGTACTGTTGACCCATGCCAGCCTTGCCTTTGATCAGAAGCCTAGGTCTGAACACGCGAGAAGATTCAAACTCGCGCTGCATGACTTCCTTTTCGAAGCCATTCTCGTCTTCGCGATCGTCATACATAGCCTCCTCGAGCGCGGTCGCCTTGCGTTTGCGTGGAATGATCTCGTCCAGACGCTGCGAGATCTGCTGCATCGGGCGCCTTAAGAGTGGCTCGATATCTTTCTTCAGCTGCGCCGCGCCTGACGCCGCTGAGCGCTCTGAAGAAGGCACGATCTTGTTGACCGATATCATGAAGTCTTTAGCCAAGACTTTGATTGTGCTGGGGTCGATAAGAAGCTTGCGGTCACTGGAGTAGATCTGAGGATATGTGCCTTGCACAGCGTTCAATGCTGCTTCGGTGCACAGGGCGCGCAGATCAGCGCCTCCATATCCTCGAGTCACTTCGGCAAGCTGATCTTTGAATTCTGGCTTGAGCGGGGGTTCCCATCCCTTGGTATGAATGTCTATGATTTTGCGTCGTCCAGCAACGTCAGGTAGTGGGAAGTAGAACTCGCGATCGAATCTTCCAGGACGGCGAAGGGCAGGATCGACTGAGTCGGGTCGATTCGTTGCTCCAATGACGATGACTTGACCTCTACCGTCCATGCCGTCCATAAGTGCAAGCAGAGTCGCCACAATGGATGCATGAATTTGTTCCTGCTTGCTGGAGCGCACAGGTGCAAGACCATCGATCTCATCGAAGAAGATGATACTGGGCTGATTCTTACGTGCTTCTTCAAACAACAGGCGCAGCTGCTTCTCGGCTTCACCCACCCACTTGCTGAGGGCGTCTGCACCTTTTCGCATGTAAAAGGTGACTTTTTGGCCGTGTGAGCTGACACTCGATGCCAGAGCACGAGCAAGAAGTGTTTTACCCGTGCCAGGAGGGCCATGAAAGAGAACGCCACGAGGAGGCGTGACATGAAAGCGCTGGAAGACTTCTGGGTATAACAGTGGCAAGGCGACCATTTCCTTCAGCTGGTTGATGTGATTGTCGAGGCCTCCAACGCCGTCAAACGTGACGTTGGTATCAACACCGAGAGGATCCGCGTCAGCCAAAGCTTTCTTGTCTTTGACCTTTCCAAGGCCTGGCGGCCCGCCGCCAGCACCTGTCAGGGGGTCGTTGTTGAGTGCTTGAGGCGCAGCTCCAGCGGCGAAAGGCCTCGGGAACGCTGACGTGGGCGTCATACCCACAGCACCACCGAGACCTTGCTGTCCGCCTCGAGGGGCAAACTCATCGTCGCTGCTGTCAGAATCGACTCCGCCAGCTGCGCCGATGCCATCAGGTCCTCCTAACACCGGAAGAGGGCCACCACCGCCACCGAAAGGTCCGTAGGTAGAGAACAAGCTGCGATAGGTATGTCCACCGCCACCTCGGCGATTGCGCTGAGGCGTGGCAGCAGGAAGCGCGGGCGCGTCATCGTCCTCCACGGGTAGCAACAGTTCAGGACGAATAATACGATAGTCTGGTCTGTTGCCGCGACTGCGCAAGTTGGGCTCAAAGTTGATTTCGTTTCCCCCTTCAGCAGCACGCTCGCGGCGTCCTCTTGAGCGACGATTGCGTCTCCTGTCCTCATCGAGCTCGGCAGCTTCGTCGGCGATTTCCTCGACGTCCAGCTCCTCTTCCACAGACGGCTCTCTCCTCGAGCGGCTCCGTCGCGATGCAGATTTGCGAGCGAGTCTTCCGGATCGTCGTCCTTGAGAGCTATCCTCGTTGCTACTGTTCCTGGCACGTCCAGGCTTGAGTAGGTTATCATCAGAGTCAGAAACATCTTGATCCGCATCAGCTTCGCCTTCTGCGTCTGGTTCAAAGTCACTGCTCTGCTCTGCACCCTGTTTTCGGTTACGCAGAGATCTACGCGAAGTGGTCTCCGGCTGGGACTGAGGAGGTGTCGAGGCTTTGCGGCGTGCACGTAGGCTGCGGCCCTTGACGACTGGGCCCTCATCTTCATCGTTGTCGTCCTCGCCAGGCGCATCGGGAGCTGGATCTGGCTGTGAGTTCTGTGATTCCTGCACAACCTGCTCCTCTTCCTCCTCATTAACATATTCCATTCGAATGTCCTCGTCCTTGGTCGTGGAGGTCGGAGATGTCCGGGATACTGCTGGCTCCTCCCCTTCCTCTTGTTTCGCGGCAGCTTGCTCGAGTTCGGCAAAGAAGTGCTGACCTTCTGTAGTTTGGCGTGGGTCGGAGATCGAATCTTCATGCGAGACTTCGAAGATGGCACTCGGCGGCGGCTTCTTGTGCGCGACGCCTTTGCCACCTCGTGTTGGACGTCGTGTGTTTGAGGGCTCCGGCGTGCCGCTCCCAGCTCTAGTGACAACATGGTGGCGCCCCGAATCGGTGAGGGCAATCAGAGGATCCGCATCATCGTGCGATAGACGACTGCTGCGTCGGCCGCCCGCTGAGCCTTGCGTTTGCAGCGATGGTGTGGGTGCGCGCCGGCTACCAGTGCGCGTTCGTATGACTCGACCGCCTTCCATGGTGTGTGCTATCTTCAGACGAACAATGAGCGATGGTTTGGTCAAAGCTGCTCGACGCGCCTGCTTGCTTCGTGCAGGTGTGGGCTGTATCGGGTCGTGATCGCTATCGGCTGGTTCTTCGTCCTCTTCGTCCTCACTCTCCTCATACTTTACTGCCTTCTTCGCGGCAGATCGCACACTTCTTCCCGTTCGCGGATTGCGTTCGATGGGCTTGTCTTCGTCGGTGTTGGTGAAAGAAGCCTCTTCTTCGTCGCTGGCAGCCTCGCTGTCGTCCACAATGTCGTCTGATGAGTCGCCGTAGCGCTCGCGACGGGGTTTGTCGCGTTTGCGCGGCGACCGCTTCTGCGACTTCCGTGACCGTTTCTGTGGGCGTGGCTCGGCCGCGTTGTCGTCGAAGTCCTCGTCGTCTGAGTCGGATCTCGTGGGATCCCAGACTTGCAGCGCTTTTCGTTTCATTCTGCTGCCGCTGCGCGCTACTGCTGCTGGTGCCTGGATGCGGGGAGGGCGGTCGCGTTTCCTCGAGGCATCAGGTCGCGAACGTGGGTACGTTAAGAGGGAGGAACGCCAAGATCAGCCTCCAACAACACGAGTACAACGAGTCGCAGGCAAGAACAAGAGCGATATTGATACAGTGGTGATGTTACTCGATGCACTCGTGCTGTTGTTGCCACTGGGAGGCAGCGGGAGAGGCGATGGGAAAGTGATGGATGCGAGATGGGCCGCAGCCAAGAATGGGAACTTGATAGCGCGTCACGCCTGATCACCGAATCTCACACAAAACACTTCTCGACGACCACGACCAAATAGCATGCTCACCAAGCTGGAAACAGCACCAAATTGATACTGCCGTGGTCGCGGAGTTCCTGCGAAGATGATGAGACTAGTGTTGCGCCGATTTACTCATCGCTACCGACGCTGGCCATGCATACAGTTTTTGAGCATTTCTGGTCAACAGCTCTAGGATCGCTGGCGCCGCGTTCCTGGCAGATGGAGACTGCAAGCTTGAACACTTTATCTCGACGACACCTCTTGGGCTCGCTGCTCCTCCTCGACCGTCTTTCACGTGACCGGATGCGCCCGTGCGTCGCCGTCTTTTCGCCATGGCTCGGAAAGTTCACGACACACGGTGACGCATTCAGATCTCTACACATGCGAGATTGTCCGCAAACCCGGCATGCTTCTCTTTGGATCGTGAGTGTTCTGGCCTGTTGTATCAGCCACATGCCCGAATCTTGGAGAAGATGTTAGTTGATGCACAGTAAGGGAAGGCTTGAGCAGCATCGACTCCACAAGTGCAGAAGCTGAAAACGTCTTCTTCGCAAAGTGGACGGTCAGTGTGGACGTTGCCCGCATCGCGCTCCTTCACAATCTGGTGAAGCTCAAGTGAGGGCTTGGCCGTTGACGAAGTGAGTGGAGTGGAGCACAGCAAGTCAAACGCCGAAGGCAAATGCCTGCAGTTGCTGATTTTGCAGAGGCATGCGGAAGCAGCTTGCGCCGATGCGCTGACTTTGGACACCTCGTCACTACGCGATATCGATATCCTGCTGCTGATTACGATGCCGAGCTGTGGCATTTCTCCGTAGGCCTGCTCGGCATCCGGAAGCCATGGCTTCAGCCTGTCGTGTAGCCGCAGTATGCGGAGTTACTTGCGGAGGTACTCGAGAGAGTCGAGACTCGGCGGCATGCCATAGCAATGGGTGTGGCAGTGGACTGAATTATACTGCTCGATGTTTATGGAGATGCTCTTTCACTTCGCGATTTGCAACAAGTGGAACTCTCGTTCATATCCCCAGTCAGTGACAGCATTGCACAACCCCTGTTGGAGAAGGAATCCGGAGCAACCGTAAGCTTTTTGCCTCACTCTCCTGGGCGCGGGTGGGCGGGCGCGCTGGGGCAGCACGCGAGTTCGTCGTCGTGCAGAGGTACGTACCGGCCACGGGTCAATTTTTTGGTTCACTTCCACTTTCTCCAAAACAGAGCTTGCAAACCTCACTTCTTTCTCATCGCCCATTGCTGCTGTTCGCTCTCTTTTGTTTTCAGCGCACTGTTCAGCCGACATCGAAGATCTCCTTACTCCATTGGGCGTCCCCACACGCAGACCCTGGTCCGTTCGTCGGACTAGCTACGTCGCGACCGCCGGCAATTTTTTAGTCTCACTTGGACTCCGTGTTTCTCAAGTCGACCATCACCAGCGCATTCGCAATCGCAACCACCTTCCGCACCCGAGTCGCACCTGTCACACCTGCAGCGCGCCGAGCTGCAGTGCCACCGGCTCAAAATCATGGAGGACATTAAGGAGAAGGCTGAGAAGATGAAGGAGGGTGTGAAGGAGACCTTACTCGGCGTCGAGGACGAGGTGCAGACCTCCGACCAGACGCGCAGCGAGTTTATGGAACAAGCCAAGAAGGATGAGGCCTCGGGCGAGTACTACATGGGCCAGGAAGAGTTTGTCAATGCCGTCGCACCAGCCGGCGAAGACTACGTGAGTCTCACTACCTCACTGCTCCAACCTCAAAGGCCGCGCCTCGACGCGCCAGTGAGGTGCATCATCTCCACGCGACCTGGACACTGACTTCCGTCTAGCACAAAATCAAGCGCGATCAGTACGCCATCCTCTTCCAGATCGCCGACCGTCAACGCAAGGGTCGCGTCTCCCTCGCTGACTGGACCGTCTTCAACAACTTGCTTAAGAAGCCAGATGCCGAGTACGAGATCGCTTTCCGCCTGTTCGCAGACCCAAGCAGCGGCTTGGTCGACTTCAACACGTTCAAGGATGTTTACGCGAAGAACAAGACTGCCAGCACCATCCCCTTCAACTGGGACAGTGACTGGGCAAAGCTGTATTTGGGTGGAAAGCGACACAGACACTCCATGACATACCCGCAGTTCGCACAGATGCTTCGCGGACTCCAAGGCGAGCGCGTTCGTCAAGCTTTCCTGCACCTCGACAAGAAGGGCGAGGGCTACATCGAGCCCGAAGACTTCCAGCGCATTATCATGGAGACTGCTGCGCACAAGCTCTCGGACCACCTTCTGGTCAACCTCCCCACCCTCTGCAACATCTCCCCAGGATCGAAGATCTCATACGCCAATGTGCGCGCTTTCCAGAACATCCTCCGCGAGATGGACGTTGTCATCATGGTTATTCGCAACGCAGTTCGCAAGTCAAGCGACGGCAAAATCACCCGTGTCGACTTCTTGAACGAGGCCACGCGCGTTACGCGCTTCTCGCAATTCACACCAATGGAGGCAGACATCCTGTTCCACTTCGCGTCGCTCGATCAGCCATCCGGACGTCTCGGCCTGCAAGACTTCGACCGCGTACTCGACCCCAGCTGGCACGCCAAGGGCATTGATCCTGCAGAAGCTGTCTCCGATATCGCACAGAAGGCAGTCGTGAAGTCGACAACTTTCTTCCACGATGTCCTCGTGTCAGCGCATCACTTCGCTCTCGGTTCTATTGCTGGTGCTTTCGGTGCCTTCATGGTGTACCCGATCGATCTGGTCAAGACGCGCATGCAGAATCAGCGCAGCTCGAATGTGGGTCAACTTCTCTACAAGAACAGTCTTGACTGCGCGTCCAAGGTCATTCGCAACGAGGGCGCGCGTGGCTTGTACTCTGGCGTTTTGCCGCAACTCATCGGTGTCGCACCTGAGAAGGCCATCAAGCTCACAGTCAACGACATCGTGCGCGGCAAGTTCACCGACATCAAGACTGGCGACATCAAGTTCTGGCAGGAGATGGTTGCTGGTGGTTCCGCTGGTGGTTGCCAAGTCATCTTCACGAACCCGCTCGAGATTGTCAAGATCCGTCTACAAGTGCAAGGTGAGGCCATACGTGCTGCGGCCCGCGAAGGCGAGCAGCTTAAGAAGCGCACCGCCGTGTGGATCGTCCGCAATCTTGGTCTGACTGGCCTGTACAAGGGCGCGTCGGCTTGCTTGCTGCGCGACATTCCCTTCTCTGCAATTTACTTCCCATCATACGCGCACTTGAAGAAGGACTTCTTCGGCGAGTCGCCAACCAAGAAGCTGGGCATCCTGCAACTGCTCACTGCTGGTGCCATCGCCGGTATGCCAGCTGCGTACTTGACCACACCCGCCGATGTCATCAAGACTCGTCTCCAAGTCGAAGCTCGCAAGGGTGACGCGACTTACCTCAACATTCGCGACTGCGCACGCAAAGTCTTCCGCGATGAAGGTTTCAAGGCTTTCTTCAAGGGCGGTCCAGCTCGTATCCTTCGGTCTTCGCCGCAGTTCGGTTTCACGCTCGCAGCATACGAAGTCCTCCAAGGTCTTATCCCATTCCCGGGCGAACACGATGACAAGACCTCGCCGCGTGGCTCTCTCGAGCCCATCACCGGTGCCTCAGATCGACAGGCACCTCTTCCACACTTGCGTTGCCGTAACGCTCTCAAGATCATCTCGGATCTCGACATTGGATTCGGCAAAGTTCAGGCACCACAGCAAGGCGGCCTCGGCTGGCTGCCCGGCCGTAGCCAGAACTAGTTGACAACGATGACCCAAAGGTATGTATGTTTTCTTCGTGACTCCTGTTTTCCTCGCGTGTGTCTTTCGTAATGCGGCGGCGGCATGGGCATGTCAGATGAGCTGGGCTCAGAAGTCAGGCATTAATGCCAAAGTTTTCGTTGTTACTGAGATTTCTACGACGGAGAAATACTCGAGGAAGAAGATGTACCATTGTGCAGTGTTTATTACGGTTGGGAAGCGATTCAACGCGAAGCATAGCGGGCGGCAGACGGAGTTTGCGGCGTTTTCATAACTGGCGAAAAGGGCATTATCGCCAAGTTTTCACTACTACTTCTGAACAACAGCGATAGAGGGAAGGCATCGTTTAACCAACCAGGGAGCCTGGCAGGTGGGACTAGATGAACGGAAGCAAGCAAGCATGCGGTAGTCTCAGTGGAAATGTTACGATACGAGGGCAAGCAGAGTGGTGCTGAGCCGCTCTGCTTGCGTGTAATTACGAACAGAGAAACGATGAATTTTCGTTTGTGGCTTCACTTCTCATTGCTTATAATGCTCTTTCTCTGCTGATCATGCAGAAACAACGACAAGCTGCATGCCGTTGCCATAATTTGTGCAGAAGCACTGGAAACTAGAGAATGTCTTGGCAACGGCCAACTTCACAACCTCTCCACACCCCCACAGCCTCTTCTCTCCATCACCACAACATGCACCAAGCCCACCTAGCCCTCGCCACAAACATGGCAAAACGGCTCGTCCTCGTGGGGAACTCGCAGGAGATTCCAGATCTCAATCTGTGAATGATGCTTCTCTCTCATCACGAAAATCTCCAAGCCACGCTACCATCCAACCAAATTGCGTTCATGGACCTCGTGGGCACGGAAGCATCCGCTGAGAAGCGGCGCAAGATCCCAAGTTCGACAAGCTCGTCTGCAGGTACGGCTTGCTGGAGCTTCCCATATACCTTCTCGATAGTGGATCTGCATATGCTTCTGCGCGAACACGTTCGCTAGAATGAATGCCGTGGAGCTAGGAAAGTATTGTGGTGCGGGATGATGGCGAGCTGAGGAAGATCTGGTAGAGGCGCTGAAGCATAAGTATTTGCGGTTCCTACCTTTTCGTGCACTTTCTTTCCTGCTAGACTGGACCAAGAAACTATTCAGGTTGACTTGGCAGAGTCTCTCCACGATGTTCTTCACTCGCAAGTTGTTGGCCACCGTGCCGTTCCTCTTGCTCACTGCATCTGCGGCTCCGCAAGATTCTGCGGCAGCTGCAGCTCCACCGAGCAGGCCCGCTGTCAGCTCGACGAACTGCAATGGCAAGACATATGTCTATGAAGAGCTAGCTGGATACGGCTTCGTGGAAGACAACGCGAGAGATCGATTTGGTGATACCATTGGTGGTATCGGGTCGAGTATTGCTGTGGATAGACGGTGAGTGGTCTATCGGGAAGCTTCGTTGTAGATCTGCATGCTGACATCTATTGACTAGGTCTTGGGTCCGTCTTCCAGGCAACCGGTACACCGGACTTCTCTACGCACTGCCAGATCGCGGATGGAACACGGAGGGCACACTGAACTACCAGAACCGCATCCACAAGTTCTTGATCACTTTCCAGCCCAACGCTTCAGCATCAGTCTCGAGCCCTGCGCCACCAAACCTGCAATTCAGGTACCTCGATACTATCCTCCTCACAGATCCTGCTGGCAACCCAGCTGTAGGTCTCGATGGCGGCGCCATGGGACCATACCTCACCTACCCAGGCTATAACTTCTCCTTCCCCTCAGCAAACTACACTGGCGACGGCTTCGGTGGAGCCGGATCAGGTGGCTATCGGCTTGTGATTGACGCCGAAGGCCTTGCACTTGGCAGTGACGGCACTTACTGGATTAGCGACGAGTATGGCGACTACACTTACAACTTCTCTCCTTCTGGCCGCATGATCGGTGCCATCCGTCCCCCAGATGCTTTCATCCCGCAGCGTAACGGAGCTCAATCTTTCAGCTCTGATAACGCCCCACGATACAACCCAGACCTTCGCCCCACTCCACGCAACCCTACTAGCGGCCGGGCCAACAATCAAGGCCTGGAAGGACTGAGCATCAACCCACAAGGCACAAAGCTTTACGCCCTCACACAATCCGCTCTTCGTCAAGACAGCGGCTCTGGCAACCCTTCGACCCGCAATGCCCGCTTTCTCATCTTCGACATCTCAGGTCGTAACCGACGCTCTCCTCGTCTCGAAGCCGAATACGTCGTGCAACTCAACAACGTCCGTCCCGGTGACGCAACCTCCAACGTGGCTCGTCAAAGTGAGATCCACTACATCAGCCCAACACAGTTCCTTGTCCTGGCCCGTGACTCCAACGCCGGCCGCGGAGCAGCAAGCACCACCAGTGTCTACCGCCAGGTCGATGTCTTCGACATCTCTCGCGCGACAAATATCGTTGGAACATACGATTCTACCACAGGCTCCGTTGCTCCTGGTGGCGTGCTTCTACCAAATGTCACTCCCGCCCAGTACTGCTCTTGGTTGGACTATAATGTCAACAGCCAGTTGAATCGATTCGGAGTCAGGAATGGTGGAGATCAGAGCGATGGTTTATTGAATGAGAAGTGGGAGTCTCTGGCTTTGTTGCCCGTGAACCCACTTAACCAGGGATCAGATGGCGAGTTCTACATTCTGTCGTTCTCGGACAATGATTTCATTACCCAGGATGGATACTTGAAAGGCGGAGAGTTCAGGTATAGCGATGCCAGTGGCTTCAGCTTGGAGAACCAGGCTCTGATCTTCAAGGTGAGGATCCCAAGAGGTGAGAGGCCTCTGATCGGATAAATAAAATGTTTTGAACTGCAGATGTTACATGAGTTTGTGTATATATGCTGATGACGACGATGACTTTTACCTAATCCAACTCCTGCACCCAACACCAACAACACCGCGTTGTTTAAGAAGTGACCTGATCCCTCACCCTTCTCAACAACGGCTGACTCTCTCCAACTTCCCCATCCGGTTTCGGATACGGCAAATATCTAAACTCGCCCTTATCGACCTTCGACACACGCCACGTGCCTTCCGACTTCGCATCTTCAAAGAACTCTTGATTCTCCTCGAAACTTCTCCCACCTGTTTCAGGCGAGTATAGATACGTCCAGGTCCCGGCGATCAAGTTGGTGCCGGCGAAAATGAGGTAGATGTAGAAGTAGAGGTTGTTGAAGAGGATCGGGGTTATGAGGGTTATCGTGAAATTTGCGAGGCCCCAGATGATGACTGAAACTGCCGTGCCATGTGCACGCGCCGCAGTAGGGAATATTTCCGTCGGAATAAGCCAGACTGGTGTTAACCACCCAATACCGAAAGCTCCAGTCGCGACGAACAACGCTACGATTCCTGGAATTGCAACGGCGTTGACGTGGATGTGGAGATCTTCGTGGTATCGTGAGAGACCTCCGAACACGGCCAAGAGCAGGAAGCAGAGGGTCATTGTCCCAGAGCCGTAGAGCATCACGGTCCGTCGTCCGAGAGCATCGATGAGAACCCAGGCGAGAGTCATCAGGATGAAGTAGGAAATGAAGTTGGCCATTGTTAGATACTCCGACAACCGTACTCCGTAGCCTAGTTGCTCGAAGATTTGAGGGCCGTAGACGCTGACTGCGCCGTAGCCTGTTAGTGCTTGGTTGACTTGGCCCATGATTGTGATCATCTGGTAAATGTCAGTAACTATGTTCATCCCGAGCAGTGAAAATTATCTCACAGTTGGATGGAATTGCGTATGTCCTGGCGTGAACATCTCCTTGTATCCAACTTTGCTGTCGCTCTCGTCCTTGGAGGCCTGAACAAGCTCATCACATTTCTTTTGCGCATCATCTTCGCCAACGATCTCCTTGAGCGATTTTGTGGCATCTTCTGTTCTGTCATGATGCACAAACCATCTCGGACCTGCATTACGAGAAACGTATGTCAGCGTACGCATCTTGAAAACTTACGAACTTTCCTCTCATCCAAAATCCATAGTACGGACACCACTTACTCTCCGGCAACCAATAAATAAACACCAGCAGCGCCAAAGGATAAACCTGCATCGCAACAATCGGTATCCTCCAAGCCCACTCATTCTCCTTGCCCAAGTACACTGTCAGCGCCAAATTGATCGCAAATGCCATGTTGAGTCCAAAGATATTCGCCTGAAATTCCTGTGCCAAAGCCTTTCCTCTCGAATCATCGGACGATAATTCCGAACTATACACCGGCACAACAGAATCCACACCCCCAACACCCAACCCCATGACAATACGTCCAATATACATGACAATCAGCGGCGCAGGCTGCGAATGCTCGAATCCAAGTCCAGCGATAAACATGATGAAGTTACCAAGAGATGCAGTGGCGAGGGATCCGAAGAGGGCAGGTTTCCGGCCACGGGCGTTCGCGAACCAACTGAAGAGGACGGCGCCGAGGGCACAGCCGAGATAGTAGACTGAGACGATGACACCGACTTGTGGTGAGGATGAGGAGATTCCCATTGTGCGGAGGTAATCGTTGTTGGTGTTGATGAGGGACATCATGCCTTGATCGTAGCCATAGAGGGCGATGGCGGTGGAGGAGAAGGCGACGACCTATGTGAGAAGCAAGTGTTGGTGGACATCGTGGAGGTATGATTTCTGGTCATTGTGGTGCTGTAGGAATTTGTGCAGTTGATGATGGAAACGGGCCCTGCCTATGCTGTTCCCTCTTGCGTATTTCTACGTCTTTCTCACGATACCCTATTCATTGAAATGTGGGGGTAACTTCAGCGGCATGGCGAAGCAAAACCAATACATTTACACTCTCGCGCTCTCACATCAGAGCGAAGGCTGAAGTATCGCAGAAAATGAAGGTAAGAGTAACGGAGAGACCAACCTGCATCTTCTTATCCCCCACCAAATTGCCCAACTTCTTCGCAATCGCCATCTTGGCTAAGCTGGCCTTCCCTTCCTTGCTTCCCCAGTCTTGCCCTTGTCGCTCGCAGATCCGGTCGCACAGACGTTGCAGTCCCTTGTCTTGTCGTCGGAGCCAGGACCGTCCCTCGTCCTGTTCGAAGCTTATAATTCGTCAAGCTTCAGATCTTGTCAGGATGCGAAGTATTTCCGATCGTGGAGTGAACCAGGTCCGCGGGCCAGCTGGGGTACTGTGTCGGTCCAAGCAGAAGTCGTACGCAGGCCACTGGGAACTTGCTGCTTCGAGAGAAGTATCACATGAAAGAGAACCTGGTGACAGCTCTCGTGATAAGAGAAGAGGGAAGCAAAAAAATTCGCTCAGGAAACGTTGGAAGCGAGGTGTGGTGGTGGGTATGTGCACACCCACACACCCAAAGCTGCATAGCTGCATCTCGTGATTGTCGATCGTGGCTCATGACGTACAAAACGCCTCACAATCCATACATGCATGTGTGTCTCGATGTCGTGCATCGAAAGCGCAGCACGCGGCTAAAGAGAAATCTGGTACAGTTCAAGTCATCAAAATGAATTGAGAAGAAAGAGGAAGGAAACAGCAAAATTGCACATCCAAACAAGAGCTTTGCGAATTTTTGCTCGATCCGATCTCTCTGTTTTACATACAGTTCCTTTCTTTCCCGTACACCAGGTGCGAAGAAAGAGGAAGAGCCAGGGTATCATTTTACATGCCCAGAAGCAACGCCTCGTAAAAGAGGAAAAACGCGAACGCCATCGCTTAATCCGCATCAACAACGATAAAACGCGCGCCAAACCAACGAAGCACTTTCGACGTTCAGCAGCGAGTGTTCTTCTTCTTTGTCTCTTCCTTCTTTATCATCCCATTTTTCCCAAGCGCCAACGCTGAGTAGTAGCAATCCTTGCGTGTGATCTTGCTTTCTCCGACCATACTCATCTCCTGCCATCTAAGCAGAAAAGGTCTGCTGTTGTTGTCGTTGCTGGATGTTATCGCCATTCTGCGGCACTGTGAAGAACTCATCAAGCATATCCTTCACAGGCACATCCCAGACCTCCGAAATGGCCTTTCTCTTTCTCGGGCTGAGCTCTCCCACGCTCTTTTGTGGTTCTCCTCCCTCTTCATTAGCCCCTCCCATATTCACATCAGCTTCATCCGACACATTACTGTTATTCATCATCTCTTTGATTTGCATATACATGGGCAGCATCGTCTCCGACACGCCCATACCTTGACCATTGCCCCAAGGGTCCCAGTTGCCCTCGTTCTCGACGCTGATCATGAAGCGCATGGTGTCGCTCTGGCTGACGTCGCTGTTTTGCGAACCATCTGGCGTGAGCTCTGGTGACGAGTCGGTCAGGCCTGGTTCGTCTACGCGCCGCCAGCTTGAGAGATCGCCATCAACGGGTTGCCAATTCTCTCGCGCCATTTCTTCGATGCTCTCCAGGGTCATCTGGTTGCCGAGTATGCCAAAGCTCTCGAAAAGCTCAGTGTCCATATCGTTCAGACCAACATCGAACACGTTGTCGTCTGCAATGATCGGCAGCTCCGTGACTGGCTCGACGGTCGACAGTGGTAGATCGAGCTTCTGTGCCATTGCCTCGCGCATTGTCTGCTCTTTCTCCGCCTCCTTGGCCTGCTCGTTCGCGGCATCGAGTTCAGCCTGCTTCTTGGCGAGTTTCTGCCTGACGGAGGCGGGAACCATCTTCCGGCGAACCTGCTCCAACTCTTGCTTGGTGAGCTCGTCTTCCTTGAGGTCGTTGACAGTGAGACGGGCCTTCGCAGGAGGAGCAGACTTAGCAGTCTGCGCATCTGGTTTCGCATTGGCATTGCCATCTTTGTCAACGTCAAGCGCTTTGGTAGCGTTCTCGAGGAAGAATCCGAGCGGGTCGTCAACGGGCTGGTGCTGAGCCTTGTCATGCTCGTTGAGCTGAGCTTCGGTGTCGAAACCGCGGAGAGAGTGTTCACAAGATGAGTCCTTGCATTTGAATCTCCTCGATTCTGCCTCACGCTCCATGTCAGCTTTGAGCTGTTGCTGCGTCTTCTTGATCTGCTCTGGACTCTGCTGGCCCTTGCCACTGCCAAGTGCAGGACTGGCATTTGCATTCGCTGGAGTGGTCGCTTGCGCTGCAGGCGTGGACACTTGACTGCCAGGTTGGTTGGGCTTGCGTTTCTTTTGCGGTGGAAACTTGAGCTTGTCTTGTGTGAGGCCTGGCTGATCTTGAGCGTACATTGGTACGCCAGGACTCTGCGCTGACCAGTCAAACTTCTTGTCGTCAGTTGGTGCGGGCGGTGCGCGAGCATGAGAAGGCTTGCGCGCGTGTCCCTGTTGCGAGGGCGCAGCTGCCATAGAAGGAGCCTGTGGTTGCTGGTCCTTGCCAGCACCTCCTTTCTGTGCCTGTAGACGGAGTTGCAGCTGTTTGAACTCGTTCATGTAGCCGCTGACGGCCCTCTCCATCTCTTGCAGCTGCTGTTGCGTCAAAGAGTAGTAGTCTCGCATGGTCGCCTGTTCGTCCTTGACATTTTGCTGAAGTAGCAATTTCGCTCGAATGATGTCCCGCAATGGCGCCTCCAGACCCCAGGACATAGCCGTTGGGAATGTCGCCGACATTTGGAAGATCGGCTTGTATAGCCTCTGAAGGGCCGCCTTGACCTTTTCCTGGCTCTGCGGGTCCATGTTGACTGGCGGACCCTTGGGAGTGGTGCTTTGAATCTCCTTCATGATGTTCGTCAGCCTCAGGCTGGCTTCCTGTTGAGACATGGCAGGCGCAGGCGCGGCACCGCCAACGCCACCCTGTGCCTTGCGAAGAGCGTCCATCTGAGCTTGGCGCTTTTGCATGAACGCATTTCTCTGCTCGGGCGGCATCTGCGCGAGCTGCTCGCGTGTCGGCCCTTGCTGTTGGGACTGCGATGCTTGCATTGGTGGCGCTTGCGGAGCCTGCTGCTGCAAGGCTGGATTGCTGACCTCGACGACATCGTCGCTGCCTGGCTTTTGACCTTGCATAGGTCCAGCTTGAGGTGGACGTTGCTGTGCCTGACCGCCATTCGGCATGTTCGCCTGTTGTGGTCGGGGTATTTGTGGAGTTGCACCGGGCGGTTTCTGTCCCTGCTGAGCACGCTGCGCATTTCGCATCTCTGTAATCTTCTGGCGAACAATGATGGTCCTGATCATGTCGTCGTTCATCTGCTGTGTTTTCGGTGCGTGCATGTTACGGAATCTCGCAATCTCATCGGGCGAGATCATACGCATCATCTGCGCTTGCACTTGTGGAGGGACGCCTTGTTGGCCGGGATCACCACCTGCTTGAGGAGCTTGCATCATCGGTGCAGGAGGCACCATCTGAGCCGGCGGAGCTTGCGATGCGCCCATCGAAGGCTGCTGTTGCATGTTGTTGACTTGCGGCTGCTGCTGACCATTTTGTGCTTCTTGTGACCGTCGCTGCTGGGTAATGAAAGCTTGCAAGGCACTGTTAATCTCTTGCGCATTCGCCGAATACCATTGCTGCTGCAACTGTCCAACGCGCTCGATGGTCTGCTGTGGGACCACGGAGCTGTTTTGTACGACGTGTTGCTTCAGATCGCCCCATTTCTGTACCTGTGGCGGCACCGAGATGGAGAGTGCGGTGAGCACTTGACGCGGGAATGGTTTCTGATCCATGATTTGCTGCCTCAGCCTCAAGATCTGTTGCTGCTGCGCGTTGCGCTGCATCATCGCTTGAGGATTCATCTGCATGTTGGGTTGATTCTGAGGCGGTTGCCCGTTGAAGCCGCCCATCGCATTGCCCATTTGCGGCTGCATCATATTCGCGTTTTGCTGGGCATTCTGCTGCGGCATGCCTGGCATGCCCGGCTGATTCATCTGCCCTGGCTGACCCATGCCATTTGGTTGCTTGATGATGTTCATCTTCGCCAGCATCATAGCCATATCGTTTGGTGGCATGCGCACGAGCTTGTCCCTCAATGCAGGAGGCACACGTGACAGGATGTCTTGCAAATTTTGCGGGATCATCTGCTGACCGGGCTGGTTCTGCTGTTGGTTCTGGTTGAGCATATTCTGATGGTGTTGCATGAGCTGGTTTGCGTTCGGTGCCATCGGCTGTTGTCGATTTGGCTGCGGTGTGCCAGGCGTCGCCTGCCCGGGTGGAACCATAGGTCTGTTGAGCATCGACATGGCTGGGCTGGCTGATTGGCCGCCAGCGCCACCATTGAATGCATTCGGCGCGTGCAGTCCGCCAGGCTGCCCGGTCAGCTGGTTCTGTTGTTGCTGCTGTTGCTGTTGCATGCGTGCTGCTTGCATGGCCTGCTGTTGCGCCATCAACTGCTTTTGCATGCGCTCTCGCTGTTGCGCAGTCTGCTGTTGCTGAAAGAAGGCTTGCTGTGGGTTGACGGCGTTGTTCCCACCTTGCCCGCCTTGGTTACCGAGCATCTGTGGATTGATCCCCGGATTACCCATTCCCATGTTGAAGTTGCTGTTATTAGTGCTGGCTGGCACGACCTGCTCGCCGGCATCCTGTAGCTTCATGGCGGTGGCCTGCTGTCCAAGAATGCCAGAAACGTCGAAATTCTGACCACCCGTTTGCGAAGGCGGTCGCTGCTGAGCGTTGTTGTTATTATTGTTGTTGTTCATCTGCATGTTGATGTTGTTGCCGTTTTGCTGCATCCCGGGGTTCTGTTGTGCTCCCATCTGCTGTTTACGCTGGTCGAAGAGCTCCTGGGCCTTCTTCATGCAAAAAGTGAGGACCGGGTCACGCTTTTGCTGTTGGCAAATATTTCTCTGCGCGTCACTCATCTGTGCCAGGAGCTGGGCCCGCATGGTCCGCCTCTGCTCCTCGGGCATCTTTTCGAACATCTGGCGTGCCCGTGCCAAAACTGCCGGGTGTAGCACCTGATTCGGTTGCCCTTGGCCCATGTTTGGCGCCTGCTGCTGCTGGCCGGACTGGTTCATGTTGTTTTGCTGGGGCTGTTGTCCCTGCTGTGATGGCTGACGCCCTTGACTCGACATCTGCAGTGCCGAAGGATCAAGAGTGCCTGTCTGACCTGGCATCGGTGACGGCTGCATTGGACGCGAGAGCTGTGCGGGGAACATGGGGTTGTTCTGGCCGTTCATCTGGTTCTGCTGTTGGCCCATGGCGTTGTTCGGGAAGCCCATGCCGTTCATGCCATTCATGCCGTTCATGGCGTTGACGTTTTGCATGTTCTGCATATTGGGCATGTTGGGCATGCCGCCCATCATGTTGCCGGGCCGCATCATGCCGTTATTGCCACCCATCTGATTCGGCATCATGCCTGCGGCGCCCAGCGGGAGAGTGCCGGCTTGCTGATCGCGCCGCTGGCGGATCTCGCGCATCTTCTGATCCATCCGCTCGACGTACTGTTCCTTGTTGCTTGAATCTTCAAAGGTGCGCGATTCCCATTTCTGTGCGATGGCCAGGCACATGGAGGTGTCGGCGTTGATGAGTCGGAGTTGGCTGACGCTGTGGACGAGTCAGTCATGTGGGTGAGGCCGCGGTGGTGAACGGGAAGTGGTCGAGTGGACGTGGCAGACAAAGAGCGGTCGTGCAAGTGTGGGGTCAAGTGGTGAGTGTGTGGACGGATGGCTGCGTCTGTGACTGGCACACGCCAACAGCACGACCGTGTCTTGCCGCAGTTGGCTGGCTGGTTGGTTGGAGGGATGGAGGGGGAGAAGGGTAGGGTCAGACGAGGGTGCACTTACAGCTGCATTATCCGACTCGCGCGATCTTGTATAGAGTGCGCTTGCTGCCAGGCGCCGATAAATTTCGAGGCGTCGCCGTTCCTCAGTTCTTGCATGATCTTTGCGAAGATCTGCTGCTGCACATTGCCATTCTGCGGGCGCTGCATGCCGCCAGCGCCGCCCATCTGGTTCATGCCGTTCGGCGCCATCATGTTTGGCTGTTCCATCGTTGCTGGACTCGCAGCGCTGCCCGCCGTCAAGGCTCGAGGGCGTGGTCGGAGTCGTCGTCAGTCGGCATTCGGTGGGGGAGGGATTCGTTGCGCGTCGCGGTGTCGAGTGCGAGTGTGTCTGTGCGATGGAGAGTAAAGTGTCGTCTACCGCCTGTAATCGGGCGCGAGGCAGGGCGGGCGTAGAGGGCGGCGGTGCTTGGATGGAGGCAACCAGTGGGTAGTGCGAGAAGGGCGCAGTACACAGCTCGGTCGCACCGGTCACAGGGCGAAGTTGGGTTGCGGTCAAGTCTACGGGCTCGCAGTCGAATGTGTCGTCGCGGTAGTGGAGCCGTAGGTTGTCAGCTTCCCAGCAAGAGCGTCCCCGTGAAATCGAAACAATGCGATGCGGGTGGTGGGTAGGTGATTGTATTGTCGGTATTGTCGATATTGTCGCCGTTCCGCTGCGCCCGCTGTCCACACTCCGTCCCGCAGTAGTGACAGCAGCAGCAGCAGTGACAAGAGCGCAGGCGGGCAACGGACAACGACCGTCCAGGTCTGCTGCCACGACAGGCGCTGCTGCGAGAGGGTGTGTGTTCGTGGTCGGCAAGGTTTGGCGGATGGTGGTTTGGCACTAGTCGAGCCTAGTCGGCGCACCCATGCAGTACGCCCAGCACCACGGCCCGTTGCTTTTGCTGCTCTACAATTGCGACGATGCGGAAGACGGGCGGGACAGTGGACGACGCAGCAAACACACGATCCCGTCGGCCTCGCTGTTCTCGCTTCAGCAGCGCATTCAACGCCGTCCGTCCTCGAGCAGACAGCGTCGAGCAGGTCATGCACGGCTGGCGATCCTGGCAAGCGCTAACGCTGGCTGCCGTTGATGTCCAGCGGGCGTTTATAGAGGCGCCGATGATTCTGGCACATGGAACACGCCCACCTCGCTGCACCGCTGCGACTCAGTCCACGCACTTTGACACACATCCGCCCGCTGGCTGCCGTTCTTCACGCGCACTCTCCGCACCTCGTCACAACCATCACAGCCCGAACTGAACTTCACAGCACAACAGACGGGCGAGTTGGAAAAACGTCACACGTCTCGCCAGAGTCGCGGGTATGCAAGGGTTCGATGGCTTGACCAGGGTTCGCGAAATCATCCCAAGGATATTGCAGCAACCAAGTCAGCTGTCGAATACCCCGTCGCCGCTGCCTCTCAACATGGCACTTTCGTCCCCATCGCACAATCCAATCCCTCCGCACTGAGCACGCCGCCTCGGTGCCCGAAGACTGCACGTCGTTGCAACTGTTCTGCTGTCACTCCTTCACTTCGCATCGTGATGAGGCTGCCCAATTGCGATACTGCGGGGCGGGTGATTGGCTGCACGGCAAATCAGCCCGCTTTGCATAGGCGTACCGTTGGTAAGACGCAGCAACAGAGAGGCATGAGCACGCTCGAAATAGGCATAGACTCCCACTGCCTGACTGACATGTGGTTCGTGGCTGGCCGCTTCTGATCACTATCGACTGCCAGCGATCATATCGAGCGATGCTTGTCGGATGAACTGGAAGTCGGTGGAGCGTCCCGTGCGCCTCCTCCCACAGAACGACGACAACCACAACAAAGAGCGGCCGCTCTCACGTTGCCTTTGGTAGGGTGCTCTAACGATTTCATCTAGCACTATTCTCTCAAGTCAACTTCCCAAGACCTGCGGCTCGTGAACGACTATTCTTGGCATATCCTGAGCACCACCCAGTTTAGAGTGGGCACAGGGTTGACCACAGCGAGAGTGGCTCGCGAGCAGGCATTCCATCTGGCAACATGACTGGTGGTGTCCCACTAAGCTTAAACCACATCCTTCACCCCTTCACAGCTATATTTTTGAACTCCTTCGTGATATTCGTTATGGCCTCCTCCACAGGCAACCGTTCCATCGAACTGGCACCGAAAAAGCCATGTATTCCGTCAACTCTCTCCAACACATATGTTGCGTCTTCAGGCTTCGCAATGGGGCCTCCATGGCACAACACGATTATATCAGGGTTAACCTTGATCGCAGCATCGCGAATACCCTGAATTAGTTTCACGCAGTCGTCTAGACTCTTGCCAGTCTTGGCACCAATGCTGCCTGAACTGGTGAGTCCCATATGCGCGACGAGAACACTGACTTGCTGTTAGCTGATGTCGTTGCTGTCGTTGTCGGTCGAGAAGAAAAGGGAGAACACTAACTCTGCACCCGCTTGCGCCATCTTTGTCGCATCGTCATCATTGAAAACATATGGCGTTGTCAACATGTCCAATTCATGTGCAATCCGAATTGCCTCAACCTCCAAATCGTACCCCATGCCCGTCTCTTCGAGATTCTCGCGAAATGTCCCATCAATTAACCCCACTGTCGGGAAATTCTGAACGCCTTCCTCACACATCTCGTCAGCAAAACTTCACAACTTCACAACCTCCCAAACCACATCAGAGACATCCTTCAAATACATACCCGCAAATCCCAACCCCTTCAACTCCCTCATAAACCTCTCCATATCCTTAAACGGATCGGTCCCGCAAACCCCCGCAATCACAGGCGTATGCTTCACAATCGGCAACACTTCTTTCGCCATATCAACGACGACATCATTGGCATTGGAGTATGGCATCAATCCTGCGAGAGAGCCTCTTCCCGCCATGCGAAATCTTCCGGAATTGTAGATGATGATTAGGTCGCCTCCGCCGGCTTCGATGAATTTGGCGCTGAGGCCGATGCCTGTGGAAAAGATCGGTCAGCTGAGCATTTTGATCGCTTTTTAGGCAATTGATGATATGTGATCTATTTGACGAACCGGCACCTGCACCCACGATGGGTTTTCCATTTTGGATTTGTTCTCGGAAGGCTTCGAGGATAGATTTTCGGTCTGTTGGCGGACTCATGATGACAGTCCTGCAGAAGCAATAACGGCGAGTAGCTTCTTAGGTATGATGGGATTGTGCTTTGCCTTCTTGCAGTAATAACAACGACACGAACTTTGTCGGTCTGGGTTGGAGCTCGAGCAGTGAAGCACTGTGACGCAATGCTTCAAGGTGCATGTGGTCCGGCTTCCTGGTTGCTTTCTCCGCACTTTCGCTCGAGCAGGAGAGACACGACCAGGCAAGAGCGAGCACCATTGGACGAGAATTGGTTGTCGACGAGTCTGAACTGAGAAGCGACTTGCTACTAATAGTTTACCCTTCGCAAAGTTCAAGAACCACAAGATGCCTCACATAGCATTACTGGGAACTTGCGATGTACGATATCGTGTCCATAAGCTGTATGGATACTAATATTGCTGTTAGACAAAACTCGAAGAGCTGTTGTATTTGCGTTCCCAGATTCTCGAGCAAGGCAGTTCAACCAGAATCACATTTGTCGATGTCGGAAGATCACCTACAAAACACGAAGCTATCACTATTACCCAAGATACCTTGACATCAAAATACCAGCCCACAGAAAATCAGCATGTAGCAAGTCTCTCAAGAGGAGACGTGATCAAATATATGATCACATGTGCATCCAACTGGCTTCGCGAAGCATATGAACGAGGCCTCGACGATCCCAAGCAAGCTATTCACGGTATCGTCAGCGCTGGAGGCACAGGCGGAACTTCTCTCGCAGCAGGCGTCATGCGCGAAAATCTCCCAATCGGTCTCCCCAAACTCATCGTCAGCACTGCTGCATCAGGCGACACAGGTCCCATTGTCGGCGAAAGCGATATCACTCTCACCTACTCCGTCGTCGACATTGCAGGCACAAACTCCCTCCTCAAACGCATATTATCCAACGCCGCTGGTTCAATACATGGCATGGCATTAGCATACCAAAAATCACTCCCTCCATACTCCACACCAACAGCAAATTCCAGAAATGCAAAACTCCGCGTCGGCCTCACCATGTTCGGCGTAACAACCCCCTGCGTCGACAAAATCCGCTCCTACCTCGAATCCACCCATCCCATCGAATGCTTTGTCTTCCACTGTACCGGCCACGGCGGCAAAGCGATGGAACGCCTCATCGCACAAGGAGACCTTGACGCAGTTCTCGACATCACCACAACAGAGATCTGCGATCACTTAGCCGGAGGTGTAATGAGCGCTGGACCTCATCGTCTCGAAGCAGCACTAAAAGCCGGAATTCCGTATGTGATTTCGTTAGGAGCGACGGATATGGTGAATTTTGGGCCAAAAGCGACTGTTCCGGAGAGGTATGCGGATAGGTTGTTGTATGAGCATAATCCGACTGTGACGTTGATGCGGACGAGTGGGGAGGAGTGTAGAGCGATTGGGGAGTTTGTTGTGGAGAAGGTGAAAGGATTTGCGAGGAAGAAGGAGAATGTTAAGGTTGTGTTGCCATTGGGAGGTGTGAGTATGATTGCTACGCCTGGAGGACCTTTCTACGATGAGGAAGCTGATAAGGCGATATTCGGCGCTGTGAGGGAGGGCTTCGAAGAAAGTGGGGTGGAAGTCGTGGAGGATGAAAGAGCTATCAACGACGAAGGATTCGCGGTTGATATTGCCAAGAGACTGGTTGGACTGATGCAGTTGTGAGGATTTGTTGTTGATGCTGTATGTCCGGGCCGGAGCTTGTGAAACTTGGAGAGGAAAGCCACACTGACAAAGGGATTTTTCAGCCGCGCGACAAGAAACGCCCGAGAGGCGTTTCGCTTAGAACGCGATTACATAATTTTACTAAATGGCCAAGTCAACGCCACATAAATCCTTCGACGCGGACGATCGTCACCAACCGACGGCCACCGACTGTCACACTGCTGGCCAAGGTGCGTTGTGTCAGCAGCTCGCAGGAGTTCCAAAGCCGAAGGCCGACGAACTCTCTGTGTTGTACCTGCATTGAAAGTGCGGGCGAAGGTCTGAGTGGTGTTCTGGCTACGTTGACGAAAAGGATTGCGCTTGTGGCTTGCAGCTTAGCTCGCAGGAGCTCCATCTTCAGAGGAAGCTGTTGCTTGTCTAAGCCGGAGGAAGCTCAACAGGCCGAGCATAGCTCTAGGAAACCATGATTGATGAGATAGCTTGCAGTCTGGGGGGCTACACGGCAACAACTACAACGTGGAGGGAATATAAGAATGGAGTCCACGCTCGTACCTGGAATCATACTCAGCACAGAAACAACAAGGTCCAACTAAGCTAGCCAGACAACAACATATCAAGACCCCAACCATAAACAATAAGAGCAACAACCACAACCACAACATCTCAACCACCAACACAATGTCTTCCAACTCAGACAAGAAACTCCTCGTCGTCTTCGGCGCAACGGGAAACCAAGGTGGCTCCGTCATCGACCTCGTCCTCTCCACCCCAGATCTGTCCTCTAAATACTCCCTCCGCGGCATAACCCGCTCGACTAGCAGCCCAAAAGCCCAAGCCCTCACCTCCAAAGGCGTAGAGATGGTCTCTGCCGACCTCAACGACCCCTCATCCCTCCAATCCGCCCTCCAAGGCGCCTACGGCGTCTACGGCATAACAGACTTCTGGTCCCTCATGTCCAAAGAGAAAGAAATCACCCAAGGCAAAGCCATCTTCTCCGCAGCCCGATCCTCCGGCGTCAAGCACCTCGTCTTCTCCGCTCTACCATACGCTGAGAAGTTAACAAACGGCCAACTCGCCCACGTCGAACATTTCGACTCCAAAGCGATTGTCAAAGAATACATCGAAGAAAACAAAAAGTCCACCGGAATGATCGCATCGTACTTCATGCCCGCAATGTTTTTGCAAGAAGCCCAAAAGCAAATCCGACCAAATCCTCAGAATAACAATAAACCCACCATTGCTCTCCCCTTCCCAGACGAAAACATCGCGTGGCCTATGATCGACGTCAACGCTGATACAGGAAAATACGTCATGGGACTCTTCGAAGGAGGCTCAAAGGCCGACGGAGTCAGCGTCAATGGAGTGAGCACTTGGACGACTCCGAAGGAGTTCGTGGCGGCTGTGAGTAAGAGTGTTGGCAAAGAAGTCGATTTTGTGCCTTTGCCGAGGGAGGTGTTTGAGGGCTTTTTGCCGGATGCGGTGAAGAAGGAGTTGGGTGAGATGATGGATTTAATTGGGAAATGGAATTATTTTGGGAAGGGACAAGAGAAGGAGCAGGAGGGACATGATGAGTGGTTGGCGAAGGGGACGAAGAAGGTTGGGTTGGAGGAGTGGGTTGGGAAGACGAAGTTTGAGATTTGAGGAATGATGAGTGAGATGTAGTGACTGGGTGCACGAAGTGAAATGTAGAGCGGGAGATTAGCAACAGAAATGGATAACTTACTACTACTACTACTTCTCTGTTTGCCTTCAATCGCTGCATCCGTGCGATCCGAATTGGACAATACTTCAGAAACCTTGAGCTGTTCATTGCAGACACATCCCCGTAAATTTAGTATGGTATATTCACATCTTACATTTCATAACTTCGTCAATCATCGAGAGAAGTCTCTCCATCTCTACAATCACAACCGTGCCTTTACACCCAGCGTCTCAACAGGCCCAGACCTCTCCAAAATCCACTGGCTCACATCCTTCGCGTAAGTCTTCTTGTCCTCTCCGGGCTCAGCATGCAGCTTATGGTACCACCCCTCGTACACCCTCAACTCCTTATCCTCCACATCCTTCAACCCTTTAAACCACTTCTCACAAGCCTCAAAACTCAACACCTCATCCCCAGTCCCAAAACCAATCCACAGCCTCGTCTTCCCTCCCTCCCCTTGTCCGTCCTTCAACACAACCTCTTTGGCCTCCTCCATCAACCTCGCCCTCTCCAACAAATTCGCCAAACACTCCAAAGTCCCCGTATCATGATTCAACTCATCCGCGACCCACTCTTTACAAACTTCCGGATCGCGACAGAGTTTCGACGCGTCGAGTTTCTGTACGATTTGTTGTCGAGGTAGGACTTTACTTACTAGTTTTCCTACGACTTGGGTTACTCTCCAAGGTTTTGCGGCGGGGTGGAGGGCGATGATGGGCGCTTCACATAAGTATCCTCGAATCCGAGCTTTTGTTTCGGGTGCTCCCCAGCCGGGACCGCGGGAGGACGCGTAGTAGAGGACTTCGCCGCCGCCCATGCTGTGTCCCATTAAGAAGAGTGGGATATCGGATTCGGAGGTGACGGAAAGGACATGTTGGATGAAGCTTTCGAGATCGGATAGGATGCGATCGGTGTTTCCCGTGTTACCTCTTTCGGAGGGTGAGGATGCGACGTTTCGACCCCAGCCGCGTTGGTCGTAGGCGTAGACTTTGATGCCTTGGAGGGCGAGACTTGGGAAGAAGTCGCCATAGAAATTGCAGTGGTCGCTGAAGCCGTGGAGGAAGATAAGACGGGCTTTGAGAGGGGTGGTGCTGGAGGACCAGGTGCGTGTGTAAAGGGAGACGTTATCGGAGGTGAGGAATGTGCCTTCGGTGGCGGACACGTCGGGATGTGTGGTGGTCGACATGGTGGCTGTGTTGATGCGAAGCAGAAGGTGAAGAGCGTGTTTGTTCGGAAGTGATAGCGTAGAAGACGTGGTGTGCGCGCATCCTCGGCCAATTGTGGGGCTTTCACATGCAACGCAGGTGTGCAGATGCGAGGCCAGCAAGACATCAATAGCAACGAACACATCTTAATAGAAAGCAATACAAAGCGTATCAATGGTCAAACAATGCGAACACTACAGCGCTCGGTAGCTGTCAAGCGATCTACTGCATCGCTATAAGCACAAATATTGAACCAGCCGATTCTGGAGAAACTGCCACTGCGGCCTTGCGTTTCCACCAATAAAAGCCCATCAACACATAGGAAGCCCCTTTCTGACAGTGAGCACTGCGACACTGGGAGAGCGTATGCTCTTACATATCTGGTAATGGAACACTCCTCGAGCTGATCTACTTTGTCCACATCAGGTCCCACCTGAATGGTAAGCAAAGAGTCGATGGACCCATCGGGCTTCAATTGTAGGTCGTCGAAATCGGAACCGTGCTCTGAAGTTTGGACGTCTCTCGACAGGTAACAACTACCGTGCCGCGAGCCTATCCTGGGGCGCTTGGGAGTCAAAGCTACGATTTTGCCGGTGTTGCAGTCCGTAGTACCAATCATGGCGAATTCTCGCTTGCCCCAGAGAGTGACTGGCGTCACATAACCACGCAAGATGATATCCCCGGCCCGGATCTGACCGTAAGGGTTTCGCGAGTCGATCAAGTCGACCCGTATGGAGATGATGTCGCAAAGGTCCTGTTCTCCTTCTGCTTGAGATGTACAACACACAGGCCCTTCGATCGAAAGCCACGACCAGGTCGGGGCACGATATGGTGCTGCTCTTTTGGTGACAGCATCATCTTGCACTGCCCACAAGAGACAACATGGAAGCAGAGAGCGCCACAATCCCGCCACATATTCGTCATCGAGCTGTTTGGCATACCAGCGTGCTAAGCCTGCAATGGCCATGGTCCAGTCGCTGGCCTTCGTGATGCCACACTTCGAGAAGGTTTGGACAAGGTCATCCCACGCGTTATAACGATAGACAACTGCCAGTTTTCTGAACCATAGAAATTGGTGCATGTGTCCGGGCATGCCACCTGGAAATGTTTCACAGGACATTACCGGTCTGCAAATATGGTAGATCTGATCGGCGCCCAGGACAACTGTTCTTGTGGCTAGTTGAAGTTCTTGCACTACCCAAGCCCTTTTCATAAGTTGGCTTTCAGTGAGATCCTCGACACCTGTGCTGAGGCTGAAGACGATCCAATCTGGCTCAGTCGCGCCCTCATCGTGCCACAAAGCTCGAGTAGACACTGCTCGTACGAGTGACGTATCGCGATTGGACAGAGCAGATTCTGAACCGTCAGCAGCAGCAGCTAGAGCAATGTTGATTTCAGCACCACGGTACACTTCGCACATCGCGCCAGCTTCGTGAAGCCAGTCCGAGACCGAGTCTTGTAGAATGCAGAGCGAATCGATCCACAGATAGCTTATTTTCAAGCAAATTGCGACAGCGACAGCCTCTTGATAGCTATTCGGCAAGTCAGCGATAGCCGTACCGCACTTGAACTGGGAAATGTTTGTTGATTCAAGCTTGGGCAACTTGGCGTCACCCCAGCAATGGGATACGGTGCAGTATGTCAGATCGCCGATAGCCTGCAATTCGACGCCTTCAATGAGCCGTACCAAAGGCGTCGGGAGATCCGAGTACAATCGTAGCAGTCGAGTTGGGCGAAATGAGCGTGCATGCGAGATGCATGCTGTGTGATGATCTTTGCACTTCTGTTGCCATCGGGACAACAACGAGCTCAGCTGTTCACGGTCGAAGTCCACTGGAGGCTTCCAATCTCCGATGGCAGCGGCAATACTGTTTTCCCCCTTGTTAATCACGTTTCTTTGCCAGCCTGGTCCTCGATCACCAAACTGTGGATAAGCACAAAACTGCGCTATGTTGCACTCCCCTATCGAGACCAAATAACCCCCGTCGCTTGTGTTTCCGCAACACCTGATCTCCTTCGATGCAGTCCTGGGGGTCGAGCTCTTCCGAACAATCCGAATGTACCATGAGCACATATAGCACCCACTTTCCGCTGCGCTGCATATCTCTTGCCAGGTTTGATGATGCTTCCAACGGGCTGCGTAATCCCACTGTTTTGTGCCACGAAACGGCTGCTGGCATTTCTCGCATAGAGTAGTCTTGGCCTTGGTTGACATCTCGTTGAAAGTGGTGGATGGTAGAAATCGAGGTCGAAGGAGCAAGATACAGCCTTGTGTGGAGGCGGGCAGTGCAATGCGCGCTCCTGCGACCTCTACCGCTGACCCCAGCGAAGCAGGCAACCGAACTTGACGACTTCATCAAAGACGTTCACGGAAGAGGTCGCGTTTTCGTCGCCATCGCTCTGTAGCTTTGTGCAAATGTAAGCTCGTATTCTCGAGGCATGTATTGCTCTCCTCGAGCTAGAAATTGATTGAGTAGGAGGCACCGCTATCGCATCGATCTTTGCCTTGTGTGGCGTTGTTTCAGAATGTTTCCGAGCCTTCGTCGCACCGCATATACTGTACCTTCATGCAGCGGGGCTTGCGGCCTGCTTCTCATACTCGCTAGGCCTGATTAAGGCCCGAGATCTGTCGCGCTCTGCATCATCCAAATCCCCGCCACCGTTGAGCTTGAGATCATTCTCCCAAGCCGCTTTGACCAGGTCAAAGATTGCCTTTTGCCGCTCTTCGGGAGAGCTAGTGTATGTTGTCGACACAATGCTTTTCAGGTCCGCAAGCGTCAAATATGTCATATCGATGGTAGAAATGATCGAGGTGAAAGTGACCACGTTCTCCGCGTATTGTTGTAGCCGCTTTGATCTCAGGTTGTATGAGTGGATATCGATATCGACGCGTAGCAAAGCACCCGAACTGGTTGCGATGAGAGCGTAAAAGTGCTTCGATGAGACTTGAGCGGAGTCGTTGAGTACGGTAGATAGTGCGTTAGCAATAATATCGGTGAGTCTAGCAAGATCAGTAAGATGATTTCGAAAGTAGGACAAAGTGCCTACGTACCCATCCAGAATCTGACCCTTGACTGTATTGCCTGTCACGCGCTTGATGCCGGAGGCAATCTGATCGTTGCTCGACGATGCATCTGTGACGATGGATTGGGACCGCATCAACTTTTTGAGTATAGGTGCATGGTCGCCAGCTCCTAGTGTTTCAGCTTTGTCCCAGGCGACATCGTCCCGACTCTCACCCAGTGCACGAAGAGCGCTCAATGACTCTATTGCTTGCTGTCCGGAGTCATTTGTGCTGTCGATTGACTTGATTACGTTGGAAAGTGCTGCACCCATGGTGATCGAGCTCTGCAGGATTTTGAAGAAGAATACAGGTGAAGAAGATTGGCGTTCTGAGCTGTTCGCGACTGCGTGTCATATAGCTCGAAGCTGCTGCAAGCTTCACCTGGAGCAGACGAAGCCACAACGCCACTCGCGTGGCATAATGCTAGCTTTGGTATCAGACGCGCGTGCGACCACTGCTATGGCTGGTCAACGCAGTCGCTGTCATGCAAGTCTTGGCTCACCTCGGGCTGTATCTGGTTACTGTCACGATCGAAGTGGTCTAGACGCTGGAGCTAAAGCTTGCGAGGGAGCTCGCCGAGCGTTATTGGAGCGCGTCTGCGATTGTGCAGCAAAGCTGTGGCACCCATAATGTAGCCGTCGTGCTCTAAGACTTCGGAGCTGCCGCGTGGCTGGCCTGGACGTCTCATTAGTGCCTTCACAGGCAGAGTATGGCCTTGTGGTGAATCTGTCAAAGCTGTCCATCAGCATGCCTGTCATCAGTCCTCTATATCGTCCGAAGTGAATTCAGCCAGATCGCGCTGCTCATGTTGTGACTCCAGCTTTGAGTATGGTCAAAAAAAAACCTCTGGCGTGCTCGCCATCGAATGCAAGGCCGGAGAAGAGGATGGGCGGTCTGATGCGGCACTTCTCAATGTCGACCGGCAGTATATCGCGCACGACGTGACTGAGTAGTGACTGACCGCATCACAATCTCCATTGCAAGCTTGAGCCGATTGCGATATGATAGACGTGGTGACTGGGGTACCAGAAGTCCTCTCGAGACATGAGGCGGTCGGCAGGATGCAGTCGTCCAAAATGTCCGGAAGTGGGTCTCGCACGAATCGCGCAACAACGTCTCTTGCCAGCCACCGACTTTCCTGCCGTCGTCTGATCATCAAGCGGAAAAAGAAAGTCCATCACAACCTTTGACATCGCCTAAAGCCATGTCGTGGAGCGTCGTGATTGGATTCAGCGCTAATGAAGAGCAGAAATTCACGAGGTTGGATCGCGCGTTCGCAATGCTTGCTGACATCCTTTTCCCCTCCTCACATCATCTCCCGTCACCGCGCATTTCTATACCGTCTTGCCTCACTTCTCTTTCTTCCCGAAGCGCGCACGCGCGCATACGAATTCAGAAGACATACCTCACCAGCTACAGCATAGCAGAATAGATATCTAAAGCGCCGCCCAACATGGTGACAACACGCAGCGGAGAATCGACCGACGATGGTACCCCCTCGAAGCCCGTAACTCGCTCCTCTGCGACACGCACAACGACGGCATCACCAACACCGCCCGCCTCACCTACAACGCGCTCTCGTGCGACCAAATCACCCGCGCCGACATCCTACTCTCGCACCCTCCGCTCCTCCACATCCTCAGGATCATGGTCCCACACCCCGTCAAACCTCACCCTTCTCTGGCTCGCCATCTCCCTCCCACTCGTAATCTGGGATGCTGGCTACGTTCTTCTCCGCCCCCATAGCATGCCAGGCGGCTACCTCCACAGTCCAATCTGGAAACCTTACGCGCTCTATGCCGAAATCGACTACGTCTACGGTTTTCCCGCGCTAGCGCAGAAGAATGGTTGGACGGCGACACAGACGTGGTTCAATGTTTTTGAGACAATTGGGTATGCGGTTTATTTGTATTGGATTTTCACATTTGGAGTGAGAGATTGGGGCGAGGGAAGAGGTGCGCCTGGGAAGAGGGAGGTGAGAGAGTTGGAGAAAGCTGCTGGTGCTGGGGGCTTTCTGGAGGGATTGGTAGAGAGGAGAGTATTGGATGGGAAGCTGGCGGGACAGGCGGTGGTGTTGGGGTTTAGTGTGGCCAGTTTGACGTTTTTCAAGACGGTCATGTATTGTGAGTCTTCGTCTTTCTTTCCTTCGTTGCTACCGATTCGGGCAGCACAACTCATTTATCCATTTTGTACATGAAGCTAACGTGTATGTTCTTGTAGGGGTCCTCGAGTACTTCAACGAGTTCCAGAACATTGGACACAATGACTGGGGGACTTTGATTCTCATGTGGATCATTCCCAATGGAGCCTGGCTGATCGGACCAAGTTACATGATGTATGTCTTTGGCGCCGAGCTTCTAGAAGGGCTGGAGATTGCTGCAGAAGGGTCGTCGCGAAAGACGAAGTAGCTGCAATAGCATCGTGAACATTTAATGCTTAATGAATTGATCTGGATTCAATGTCTCTTCGCAAAGAGTGGACTGTACGCGCAACTGCAAGTGAAGTAATCGGACAACATTGTGTATACAAATCCCTCGTCTCAACGACGCTTCAATTATTGGTTAGTTACAGCTCTCGAATTTGTACAACGCAGTCACAAAGTGTAGACTGTCCGCATGGATGATGGAAGGCGCCTCACGCCAAGCAAGGCACCTCCCGCAAGAAACAAGGCACTTGCACTTGCACTTGCACTTGCACCTTCCTGTTCCTTCTTCGCAGCTCCACAAGCTCCCCACGAGTTCTCCTCTTTGCCAGTGCCAGTTCCAGTTCCCCAGCCACGCGATCCGATGCATCAGCGATCCTGACGACGAAATCTCTTCTCCGCTTCTAGCAAGATGCGGTCGCCGCTAATACCCTTCCTGATTCCAGAAGCGAAAGCGTGCAATGCAAGATTATTCGCACCTCTGGGCACACGTCGTTTTACTGCGGGATGGACGGGAACGAACAATCAATGGTTCTTTGCTCCTCTCGTGCCTAATAGGATAAATCAGACGTCACGCTGTACGCTGTACAGTCTCTCTGTCATTCACACAGGTAGGACAGGAAGAGTTGGTTCTCTTTGATTCAACTCTACTCATCACTGACTGCTCATCACTATTACTGTTCTGGAAGGTAGACGGAGACGCCACACCAGCGATTCTACTCTGCTGCTCACTGGTCAGGACTGTGCCAAAGGCTGCATAGCGGCTTGGGACACGGCACACCGACGTGCCCGCGACGGTAGAACATCAGGCCACCATGGAGAGACATACTTCTAGTTCGGCCTTTGCGCTGTTCTTGCTTGCAACGAGTGCAGTGCGATGCGTTTTGGCGGCACCGGCAGACACTGGTTCTGCCACCGCTGGAGATACAGCTGCGGAGCTGTTATCTTGTGGGGAGGCGTATTACTATGCATCGAAGGTATTCTCGCCTGTGCTGCATCATGTGTTCGATTTGCAGGACGTGGAGCTTGCGGAATCGCAAAGCTGTCAAAAGGATTCAGAACTGACGAACATTTCATAGTATACGTGCTACGATGGCGACTTCCTGTGTCCGATCCTCAACGGTGAGCCCACGCTGCGATGTGGACCAGACTGCTATCTTCCTGAGAATTACTCTTGCAGCAATGGGAAGTTGGTCTATCCGCCAACCGGTGGCTCAGGACCTGGAACAAACCCAGGCTCGGGAGGAGACGATCATGATGCTTGCACGAAGCCACCTACAACTCAGCAGCTGAGTGATCCGCCGTATGAGAATTACTTCTACTCCGATTGACATTCAGCTACGCAGGTTGTCGTGACAAGTCCGCTCGACACGTCGAATCTTACTGTCATTGGGCCCAGACTTCTAGTTGCATGGCCTGCGGGCAACTCTGGTGCTGTGGCCTTCTTCCGTCCCGCCGATGGAGGTGTCAATGGATCACTATCTATTGGGCTTTCTGGAGTCGATAGTGCAGCAGGTTTTGAGTATCTTCAGGGCGTTTACGAACAGCCTGCACAAGACTCATTGTCTGGCTTACTAATGGTCGGTGTGAGAGCAGTATTCAACTTGAACACTTCCGCAACGCTTTCTGTGGCGATTCTGGGCAGTATCCGCAACATTCGAGACTTCACAGAAGGACCCTCACTCTTGTATCCGATAATTCAGGACGCGATCGAGTACAATCAGATCGAAGACGGCGGTGTCGAGATCTCCCGGCTCTGGCTCGACAACGTTACGACCACTTCCATGTCTTTCACGCCACTTGCTGGAGTGGGAGAAATTACCATCAACAATGGCACGCTGGAAATGCCAGCAGGAAGCTACGATTTCGTAGCAAAGTTCGATTACCCTCAGCTTGAGCAGCTTGACGGCAGTGAAGTTCTGAACGAGCAGTCTCAGGGCTTGATTGAGGAAGAGGGCGCCCGCGTCACTTCTTTGACCTTCTTGTCATACTCCCAAAAGCTGCTAGCTGGCGCATGGAGATTCTTGACATATTTCGGCCGTGACAGCATGATTGCGACCCTGTTGATGCAAGACATACTATCGGAAGGCGAAGGTGGTGCTATCGAAGCTGTGATTGGCGCTGTGCTGGAACGACTCAATCGTACTTCTGGAGTTGTCTGCCACGAAGAGACGATTGGCGACTATGCCACATATCTCAACATCCAGAGAAACGAAACTAGCACTGCGCCCGGCTGCACATACCTAATGGTGGATACCGATTACTTTTTGACGCCACTCATGGAGAACTACTTTCTTAACACCGAGATCGGTCGAGAGCGAACTCAAGGTTTCCTGGCCACCGAGTCAACACTAGACTTTGGAAATGCTGGATTGACGTATGGCGAGCTTGCACTCATCAATGCTAGGGCTGTCATGGAGAAGACTGCAGCATTTGCTCAAGCAGGCGGTCAGACACAGGAGAACCTGATCCACCTGGAAGAAGACGAAGTTGTAGGCCAATGGCGAGACAGCACTTATGGTATCGGTGGAGGTCGCATCCCATACGATGTCAACACTGCTCTCGTACCAGCCGCACTGAGATCCATCTCCGCTCTTTCAGCTGCAGGCTGGTTCCAAGAATATCCCGAATGGGCTGAACTAGCAGCCCAGTACGCTCAAGTGTGGGAGGATAACACTCTCCAATTCTTCGAAGTCGTCGTTCCAGCAGAAGAAGCCCGACAATTGGTGTGCTCCTACACCTCAGCATCAGGCTACGGCTTCCCTTCGCAGTCCGACCTCATCACCTCCGACGTCGTCTACCACGGCCTCGCTCTCGAAGGCAACAACAACCAACCCCTCGTCAAAGTCATGAACACCGACGACTGTTTCCGCCACTTCCTCACCAACACCACAAATCAAACCCAACTCACATCCTTCCTCAACCAATCCGCAACCAACATCCGCACGCCCTTCCCCGTCGGCCTCCTAACACCCGTCTCCCTCGTCGTCGCAAACCCAGCCTACGGCGGTGACCCAGTCTACGCCGCAAATTTCACGAATAATGCCTACCACGGCACAGTAATCTGGTCCTGGCAACTCGCCATGATGGCTGCCGGGTTTCAACGACAATTAGGTCGCTGTACGAATGACGACAACGAAAATACACCAGATTTCTGTTCCAACGAAGCAGTCTACGCAAACGTCAAAGGAGCATATAATGATCTCTGGGATAATATCGAAGCGAACGAACAATATCTAAATTCGGAAGTTTGGAGTTGGATCATTCGCGATGGAGAATTTGTGTTTGAGCCTTTGGGGGCTTTGCCGCCTCCTGCTGGGCAGAATCCTACTGTAAGTCTTGCATCACTTCTGTTCTCCAATGTTTCTGGGACGATTTGCTAACGTTTCGATTGCAGGAGAGTAATATTCGGCAATTGTGGTCTTTGACCTTTATTGCTGTGAAGAGAGATGAAGCATTGAGATAAATGAACGTGATGATAATGAGGAGATGAAGTAGAAGAAGGACAACAATGACTTATGAATCGATACAAGATATGTCAGATCTGGGACACTGAAAGTGCTCCGACAGACCCGAGTACACAATCAGACGACAGTAGCAGTGATGAAACGAAAGATTCTTGAATTTTTTCAAAGTAAAATCCTTTTGCCGGGTATCTCAAAACTACAAAGTCATCACATCGCTCGCCTCGCTCTCCTCCATCCCATCCCATCAATCGTGTATATTTTCAAAAGGGTCGTAATGGTACATAATCTTTTTTGATCAAAACCCAGCAGTCAGTAGTGGCAGCCAGTTCCGTTCGTTCCTTCCCTCCCTCCTTCCGTGTTCCTTCGTCTTTTGATACAACACATCTACAATAGCAATGGCGTCAAACAACCTCCTTTCGTTGCCGAGCAATTCTTTCTATTCCAACAATTGCCTTGCCTTCTTCACTGTTCTTTCATTTTACAACCAACCGCAAAGAAGTTCATAATCAATACGAACTCTCCACACGATAACTCGTCTCATGATGAATAATCATCTGATCCGAATCATCACTTCTCTTCCTTGATCCATAAGGATCAATCTGACTCTTCTTTCTGCTGGCCGCCAAAGAACTCGTCGGCGCATCCCCTCGCACGTGTACACTATACTCCAACGCTCTCTCAGGCCTTAACCTCGGACCCCCACCACTCGGATCGCGATCCGCTTGCGAAGCATAAGATTTATTCATGGAACGTAACTGCACACTCTGGTTCTGTGATCTCGATTCCGATGCTGAAGCAGTCGTATTCCCGTACATTGTCATGAGACCTCGGGACATGAACGCCCAGAGGAAAGAGCGAAGGCAAGGGAAAGAGGCGGAGATGAGGCTGAAGCCGAGGGAGACTTCTTGCCAGGCGATTGTGGGGGCGATGTCGATGGGGTCGTTGGAGTTTGTTTTGAGGAAGTCGAAGTAGGTTGAGGTTGTGGCTATGCTGAAGCCTATGACGATTAGGCGGAACATGTAGACGAAGATTACGATGCGCTTTTTGCTGGCTTTGAGTTGGTTTTTGCTGATGAACCAGATGGGCATGGCGAGGATGATGAGTTCGGTTAGGCCGTCGAAGGCGGTTATGATGGTCCAGCGGGCGGTCTGGTGGGGTGGGGTTAGTGGGATGGTTCGACGTTTGATTGATATTGGCATGTGCATACATTGAAGTCGCAAACCGCATTGACGCTTGGGTTCAAGCTGTCTGCGGGACGACATCCTGCAGAGCTGAGGAGTACTCCGAGAACTCCATATACGATTGTCACGGCGTAGGATACGCCAAAGAAGACGCTTTCCTTGTAGATATCGCCAGCGAAGATTCGGCGTGTGAAGACGAGGATGGAGAGCTTCGCGAGGCAGTGGGCAACGAATCCTGGTATGCGGGACCCGAAATACATCTGTGTAATCACACGTTAGCGAAAGCTCGCATGATCACCGCAGCGATTCTTGGTTCTTTTCTGTATGATTCCCCACACATTATTAAGAATGACGCTGTTTCAAGATCGCAAATCGCATACTTTTGCAGCGACATTGAGCTGATGGCGTGAAATGGCAATGGAAGCCACTCCCACTCCACTTGTAAATGCTTGAAACAAGAAACCCCAATGTACAATGGCGGACAAGTAGCCACCGCTCAGGATGAGATCATCCCACCAGAGCAAATCCCATTTTCCAGTGAAGCGGGCGGCCAGACAGAGCAGACTGTAGATGAGCGAGAGGAAGCTGGCGACCCACAGCCAGGCTCGCGTATCGGTTGCAGTGGCAGTCGCGAAGCCGGAATCCATCGCGCGGATATCGGCTCCAAGGCCCGCATGGACAATGAGAGAGCGCAGTCGCAGGAGCGGTGGCAGGGGTCGATGGGTAGGAGGAAAGGGTGGAGAGTGGTGGAGAGGATGGAGGGTCGGTTAGCAATATCCAGCAATAGTAGCACCACGACCGCCAACGACACGACGTCGACGACGTGAAACGGGACGGTAGCGAGGATGTCAGGAATAATAATGGGATAAGCGAAGGAGCGGGCGGGCGGGCGTTGTCGTCAAGATAGCTGGCAGGTGCGTGAGGTGCTCGTCGCGGTGGTGGGAGTTGGGCGATCCATCCACGCAGCATGCAGGAGGTGCTGCGCTGCAGGTGATTGTCTACTGCTGCTGCTCTCTGCAACTCTGCCCTGCGCTGCTCGCCGCTGCTATCGCTGCTCCCATGCTAACTAGCACTCTGCCTACCACGCTTCCTCACACTCTGCGCCCATTACACTTTCCCCCGGCTCGCCCATCGTGATAGGGTTGATGGCGGACGATGCGCCATTGACGGAAAGTCGTCTTGCGCAGCTCCGGATCTGCAGCGCGACCCGGTGTTCGGCCTCAGCAGAGAGTGGAAATGTCATGTCCAGCGAATGGGAGGAGCGTCGACGGGTGCTTGGCGCAGGCTCTCCATCGGGCCACCTCGGTCGTGTACCTCACTTCTACCACGAACCCCTTCCTGTCACCCTCATCACGCATACGGCAAGGTTCACTGCCGATCCCTCTGGCGATATGGAGCTCAGAGTGCACCCGGCCGCCATCTAGCCTCGCACGCCTGCCGAAGCCTCTTCTGCACTTTGCTGCACTCGCCCCGCGCGCCCTCGAAATCCTGCTCTGCCGCTTCGCAGCCCCGGGCTTATGTGGCGTCTGGTCAAACAATAGGCGCAGCTCGAGCTTACAGTACCACTCCTGCGGTGCGACGAGTGACTGACAGCTGTCCATGCCGTGCGCGGGCGCACAACGGGTCAGACGACGAAGACAATCGTATTATACACGAGGTGGAAATTGTCAGCGACCAAAATTTTATTCAATATCCATGCAGATGAAACGCCGCTAGAAGCGTGCTCACAACAGCTTCCACCAGCAAGATATACTTTGCGCGAGTCGGAAGCGATATGCTCAGAACCAATAATGCGCCATCCCGGATAGGTTGCTACAGATTCCACCATTCGAGAGCCGGCTCGTTCGTGCCAAGCCAGTGCAAGTCGCTAGGCCCATCGTCCCCAAGAGCTGCGCATACAGTAGCCGGTGAGCTAGGAACCCGGTTCACTGCATGTATTTCCAGCTCGCCGGAATGTCATCAGGCTCGAGCACTGTGCAGACTGCAGTAGTGGCCGGCAATGTTACCAGGCGAAGACGCGAACAGCCGCGGCGCCGTTCACGCCTGCAGTAGCAGCACTCGTGCACCGGAAACGTTTCGAAGCCAAGCGCGGCCGTCGAGTCTGCGCAGCGCTGCTCAGGCGTGCTTCCGTGCACCTGCCGCGTGCGGTTTGTCCTGTGGCGAGCTTGGAAGGTGCGCGAGAGGCACGGAGATATCGTGGCAATCCCTGGCATCTGCGTGGCAGCTCTCGCATGGCAGAGGAAGGAGGCCACGGCCGATCGACTATTCAGGTGGGTCGTTCGAAGCTTCCCTCTTTTCGGAAGGAGCGCGCGGTCGACGTTGCATGCTGTGCTGTGCCTTTAGAGCTCGACTTGGTCCCTGCTTGTCGGGTATCGTGAGAGGCGGGACTTTTTGCGATCTCTGTCCACCACCTGTGTTTCTCTTCTTCCTTTGCTTCGCGGATAGCATTGTCTCTCTATCTCTCGTATCCTTTCCCTGCCCGCCTGTCCCGGTCGCGGCGACAGCATTCTTTTCAAGATGCAGAACGTACCGTTGGATAATATGTCAAAGGAACATGCGTTCGCAGAAAGAGATGTGGATCTTGATGCGGACAGCGATGTCCAGCAGGTCCAGGCCAGGAATTACGACCCGCATAATGGTGCGTAGGGAGACAACAATGCAAATGCGACAAGAAGGTGTATTGACTGTCGTGTGCAGACCAGCGGGATATGCGAAGATTGGGCAAGAAGCAAGAGTTGAAGGTAATACGCCTCATCTGGGCGTGCACACATATGGGAAGACCTTCCAGAACTGACATATATCAGCGTCGATTCCGATTCTTCTCCGTCGTTGGCTTCGTCGTCGTCCTTGGTCTCACATGGGAGTTCTCTCTCACCACACTGGTCTTCAATCTGGGCAACGGAGGAACGGCTGGCGCGATATGGCTAGTGCTCGTCGTCTGCTCCTGCATGTTCTTCGTCATGTTGTCAATGGCTGAACTCGCTTCGATGGCGCCTACATCAGGTGGTCAATACCATTGTACGCATATCCTGGAAAGGCAACTTTTCGAGCTTTGGCACTAACTCTCGCAGGGGTATCCGAGTTCTCACCTCCGCATTTGCAACGACCACTATCATACGCTGTCGGATGGCTTTGCGCGCTTGGATGGCAATGCGCTATGCCTACAGTCGCTTATATTGGTGGCCAGCAAGTCCTTGCGCTCATTGTCATTGCGACCGATGGAAGTTACGTGATCCAAGGATGGCACGCGTCGCTCATGACCATGGCATTCGTGTTGTCGGCCATCTCTTTCAACACGTTCGCTATCGGAAAACTCCCGGTTCTCGAAGGTCTTGCCGTTGTCCTCCACGTCTTTGGTTTCTTCGCCTTTGTCGTCATCATGTGGGTGATGGGGCCACGCGCTGACGCCAAACTCACCTTCACCGATTTCACCAACGCCAACGGATGGAGCAGCGTTGGTCTGGCCACGATGATTGGAATGGTCGGCCCCGTTACCACTTACCTTGGAGCTGACAGCGCTGTCCATCTTGCCGAGGAACTGAAGGATGCCAGCTATGTTCTCCCTCGAGCCATGTTTTCCGCGGCCATCATCAACTACATCTCGGGCTTCGTCATGACGGTGACTTTCATGTTCAATCTGGGCGACCTCGACGAGATTCTCGAAGCAACCAGTGGTCAACCGTGGGTTTCCGCAATTTTCGCTATCACTGGATCCAAGGCTGGCACCATCGTCCTGATCGTCGTCATGACAGTCATGGTGAGCACAACCTACCAAATCTTGCCATAACACCTCACTGACTCTGTTCAACAGTACTTCTTCTGCGCCGTCAACCAGGTCACCACCTCCTCCCGACAAGTCTTCGCCTTTGCACGCGACAAGGGCCTCCCCTTCCACCAATTCCTCTCCCGCGTCCGTCCCGACTCCGGTGTTCCAGCAAACTCCGTCTACGTCACCTTGATCTTCACCTGCCTCCTCTCCCTCATCATCATCGGATCCACAGTAGCTTTCAACATCATCCTCTCCGTGTCCGCTACTGGCCTCTTCACATCTTACCTCACAGTCATCGCCACCGTCCTGGCAAAGCGCATCCGAGGCGAGAAATTCCCTGCATCGAAATTCAGTCTTGGGAAATGGGGCGCTTTGGTGAATGTCATCGCCATCTGCTTCTTGATCGTTGCATATATTTTCTTGTTCTTCCCTGCGGCGCCGAGACCGGAGCCTGAGGCTATGAACTGGGCGATTCTTGTGTAAGTCTCTCCTTCTCTCCTCCTTCCTTCCTCATTTTGCTATCGCAGACCGCGGATGCTGATGTGTGATGTTTGCAGATACGGCGTCGTAGTCATCTTCGCTTTCGTATGGTATTTCATTCGCGGACGACACGAGTATGATGGGCCCGTCAGCTATGTGCGGAAGGATGTTCTATAGAATGGACGAGCGAAAATTTGTACCGTTGCTGCTCCGTTATTATTGCTTAGAGTTCCAGGGGTGTGATGGACAATGATAGGATAGGATAGGATAGATGACGAAGTCGCGAAGGATACCCCCTCTGGATGGATCAATTGTACAGATCATTCTCACAGAACCTTTTTTTTTTTCAATTGTCAGGTTTTTGGCGCCGGCCGGATTCCCTTTCAAACATCTTCTTCAAATTTCGAAAAAGTATCGGACTATACCCCCAGATTTGTTCCCGTCTTCTTTGAAGCCCGCTGCTGCTGATCTGGAGCGCAATGTTGGCAAGGAAGTAAGAAATAGCGGATGTTTCTTCATTTATTCGAGCCTCTTGTTCTCTTTACGCTGGAAGGACACGGGAGGTGCGGCGCCGCTCGGAGTTGTCGATCGGTTGAGGGGACGATATACCTTGTTTAGACAGCTCGAAGTATGTACGGTGTGAGATTGCATGGAATGGGAGAACGATGGCCGTTTACATGCCTCTAGCTAGAGCTGTCGGCTGTATATATCGAGCACTAGACATTTCCGGTTTCGAACTTTTGTTCTATTCGATTTGGCTTGTAGACAAGAGTATGTTGAAGGTTGGGCGTTATATAGTATTGATGTTCCCGCCTTGTGATTTTGTAGATAGAGGTGCAATCCTTGTAATAAATCACATTGGCCTAGGCTCTCTACATTCCCGGAGCATCGCCGCGTTTCGCGGTAGGTGGCATGATACTTATTCACGAAAACCTAAAAGCCCGGGAACCTGGGTCCTAAGGGTAAACATAGGTGTGAGGAACGTTAGTAAAATCCTTGCTAGCGCTGATTACCCCTTCGACTAGCGATTCTGCAGTAGAGTGCTTGGTAGTTAGGGTATTTACTGGATATAGTTTAGCTAGAAAACATTATATGAGAAACACCCTATAGCCCTAAGGTAGGACTCCTAGCCTTCATGGCTCGGGAGTACATCGGTAACAGAAGTGAACAAATATGTATGTATGGCATCAATTGCGCAGCCTATGGATCCTAGTAACAAAAATGGACAGGAGGGTGTTGTTCTCAATAGTGAGTATTGATGGAGAGCATCTGTAGCTATCCCGGCCCGATTGTCCTCCATCTTCGGTGCGAGAGGACCATGATTATGCCTTTGCCTCAACAACTACTTCTGAATGGACGAGAAACTGCACGACACCTTGCGGTCCGCTTTAGTCTGAGCTCAGAACGAGCCTACAGGATTCTAGACACGAGGTGACCTCCTAGTCAGCCGGTTTAACCTGTGGTCGATGCCATTAGTAGAATCTGCTTGTTCGTCCTATCGTGGGTTCCTTCACGTTGTCCCTGAGACCTGTCATCTGTGTCATCCATGGAATTTTTCCCTTCGTGCTATCGTAAACCACTCGAAGTTTGTCAGCTGTTCGTCCTGTCTTGGGCCCGCCCTGTCTTGGGCCTGTCCCTTCGTATTTTCTCAGAGACCTTCCATCTGTGCCATCCATAGCACAAAATCTCCATCCACGGCCAACGGGACCACTCGTTTCATCCGAAGCCATCCGGACTCCTGCGCCCATACTTGACAGCAGGACATATAAACCAGACAGATTTTCCTGCATTTCGTCTCGGATCATCCAGCTCCATCGCTCTCAACTATTACTTTGCACTCAACAACATCGGGTACAGTCTTTCCCACCACATCAAACCAGGCAACGAGTCCCTCAGTTCTCTCTCTAACATCAGAAACGTCGCAGCAACGAAAATCTCCCCGATTTCCTCTTTCTCAAAAACGACTCCAGCCATGCAGTTCGCCATCGTAATCGCTGCTGCCCTTCTGGGAGCCGTTCCTGCATTCGCAAAACAAGCAGCCTGGTGTGTTGGTGGTGCCGATGCGGGCCAAGTTCAAAAGGGTTGTACCGACAACGGACTCGCACTGGTATGTATGAACCTGTTGATCTTGTTTACATACCGCTCTGAAGGTAACTGACGCATTCGCCGTAGGCCAAAGATGCAGGAACCTGTTGTCTGTCTACCGCAGACGACTATGACAAGATGACTGATGTCTGCTTCTACCTCGGAGCCAAGCCTACGTACGGTGGTGATTGCGGCTTGTAAGCAGCACTTTGGGTCAGCTGAGGCTCGGGTCAGGCATGGTCATAAGCTGGTGGTCGAGGTGGAGATAGAGGGGTGGAATTAGGAGGGGGCGCAGCGTGGGTAGTATATTAAGATTGCCTGGTACGTACTGGAATTTCACATCACAGTTGATCGTGTGTGCTGCAGCGTCCAATACCAGCAATCGAGTCTGTTGCGTCGCATTGTACTGTTTGAACAATTTCAGTGTCTTGGGCCATAGCGCTGTAGAGCGCGTGTCCGCGTGTTAAGAGGTGCCGCGGATTAAAAGCCCGATATCAAGTTTGTCGGCTTTTCAAAGAACTTGGACCTCTGCTTTTGTGGTTTCCTGGGTATTAGTGCTGGCATTCCCTGCGCAGACCATGAGACAAGTTGGTCTGCTTTTGGGTACAGAGTGTGCTACTGTTACAGTTTCAGGTGGCTCTTGTACACCAAATACAACAACCTAATCTAAAGGGGTACTTGAGCCAAAATACGCGCACGTGTCAGCCACGAAGGTGTTTCGTATTTCGCAAATACTGGATATGCTTGAGCAGATGTCGTGATCAAATTCTGAGCGCATCGGGTCAAGATGTCCGCGGTATGAAGCGTGAAGTGAGATCGAGCATCACGACTGATTGGTCCAAGTTGCTTGTAAATGGATCTGTGTACAGTAGTCCCAATAAAGGACGATATATCTGGTGTTTCGTTCGTGAAGCATCAAGGGCACTGAGACGGCCATACACTGAAGCTGGGACCCCTTCAAAAAGAGCCATGACTTGGCCGGAGCCAGAGCAAGCTGCTACCATGTGAGCTGACTTGTCTTGGCATGTGGGTTTCCTCACCGTGGTTGCAGCAACATCAATTGGGGCCCTTTGAGCCCATCTTACGGGTCTCAAACAGCCTCGAAGTCTTGCAGCCAAGTGTATTGAGCTCCGGTAGCCTCCAATGTGCTCTGATATCCATATATTCAATTGCAGTTGCAAGTCACGTGCGTCACGTGCGAGGACTTATCCTGCTATTTCTCCTGGTTGGCGATATTGTAGGCGCCAGTACTCAGCCTTTCCCGTATGGTCGTATTATCTGGGACCTCTGGACCGCTTGCGAGGTGGCGACGCTTGAAGACGAACCGTGGAGTCGCTCAATCGGTCGTTTCGTACGCTTTCTGGGACTCGAAATCTGCGATTGACGACGTTGCGACGGCGGTGTTGGCCTGGTTTGCGAAAGTGAGGCCGGTGCAGATGGTGACGAGTATCACTTTCATCGTCTCGAGCGTTCCGACGTGATTCTGCATCCAAACATTGGTATATGAGCATGGAGAAAGCAGAGGTTTGTTCGAAGTCGGGATGCGAAGCCGGTCCGACCTGGAGCCAGGGCCGCCTGTCCTCTGGCGGCCACAACGCAATGACGCGAGTAAGTTTCACTTTGCCACTTTGCCACCCGACGCACCTGAACGCCTCAGGCATCACTGCAGTAGAACCTGGGATGCACACGCATCTAACTAAAGAGATCAGGCAGTCAGGTATCAATTTTGCTGACTATTCTCCCCAGTTCACAAACATCTTCCACTCTCATCACTCGACCACTGGCTTGAGCGGTAATACAACTTCCCACCGCAATGTTGCATACTTCAGTCTCGAGGAGCTCACTCTTCCGTCTCTCGCCGAGATTGAGGCTTGGGACGCTGACTACGATGGTCGTTTCCTTCAGGAAGACCAATCTCTCAGGACGTCGGCCGGCGAACCTTGCCCGTTGACCGCCGTCGACCCACGCCTGCTGGACAAGGACGTCTTCCTCCACTGGAACGCAGACCAAAATCTGAATCAAGAAGCATTGCTAGCAGTATACTCTCCGCAGGCCCCGAACCAGCCATTCTCCAACGAGAATGCTTCCTCGCCGTACGTCAAACATGTATTCTGAAATGAGGTTGCTAACAATGTTACAGACCCACGGATGCTGCGCCATCAGCAGATCGCTTCTGCATGCTGTGCGAGAAAGCCTTCAAGTATCCCAAGGACTTCCGACGACATTGGCAGAGCGTTCATGAAAGCAGCTTCGATTACGAGTACAAATGTCCTGTGCAGACTTGCAAGTATCATTTACTAGGCTTTGCTCGGAAGGATAACCGAAAGAGACATGTGAGAAAGAAGCATCCGAATTTTGCTTTGATGTTGGCTTAGGTGTTGATGGTCGCTCTGCTTTTTGGCTCTTGCTTCTCGGTGCGTTCTCACATCGGAATGTTAAGTACTAGACGTCTGGGTGCGACTTCGGCTGCTTCGATTGGCCTATTATGCTCGGAACGACTGGAAGCGGAAAGGTCATATAACGATGCAGGCGCTGTATTGACAATTGATGTAGTGCACGAACTTTCGTTACGTTTTGATCTTCTGCGACAGATAGATCCGTCTTTGCTACATCTTCTTCAGAATACCAGCTTTCTTCTCGCCGAACAACATCCAGCACTCAACAAGCACTGGTGTAAAAAGTAGGACCGCGACTACCTGCCCGAAAGTCCACTGTTGGTCGGCATCACTCGAACCGACTGCTTTGCCAAGCTCGTTCTGGAGTTGAGCAACTCGGATGATTGTCCACAGTAGGCCACAGGCCAGCAAGGGGATCAGTCCAAGACAGCCCAGAGTGATTGACTTCATCCATCTGCCAGCCACCCCTGGCCTAATGACCGAAGCCTGAGATAAAACTACTCGGATGCAGGCACGGCTCCTCTGCAGAATCGACGAAAATGGAGTTGAGATGTAGCTGCCGCTAATCTCTCTGTCAGAATTGGTCCGCGTGCTCACCTGTACATCGCAACCCATCATAACTCTTGTCCGCCATCTTTCATCAACCCAGAGGTCATCTTCTATCTACTCGGTTCCCAACCGTCTGGCATTGATCTCTCTAATCCTCCTTGGACCGCTGCCGTGTCAGAAGCCGCAGTCGTCGAGGCATCGGTCGAAACAGGCTATCCATTCGGAGCTGAAAACGGTCAGGGTGTTGTGAACGCAGACACGTACAACGACAGCTTAGCTGAAGATATGGGTGTGTATATCCGAAATTCTGTACTGCTGCTCCGTTGTTATTTGCTTCGAGTTTCAGTTGTGTGACTGAGAAATGATAGGACATGGAGATGATGATGATGATGATGATGATGATGTCGAAGGATACCCCCGATAGACAATTGCACAGATCTTTCTCTTTCTCACTCTCTGTCTCTCTCTGTGTCTCTCTGTGAGTCTCGTTCGTACGTTAGATCTGTCGCACCTAGATTGAGGCTATGTAAGCGGCTTCCGTGCTTCCCGAGAGATGTCGTACAGTACAGTAACTCAACGCTGACAAAAGTCAAACCCGCGATACCCCCCCCCCAAGTCAGCCGGCCGGGGAAACCTGTCGTCGGTGGTGCCATCATCAGCAGAATCTGCTNGGTGGTGCCATCATCAGCAGAATCTGCTGTTCGTTCTACAGGATCGTGGTCCTGCTTATGTCAGTGTTGTCTCTCCTCAGTGAATAGGAAATCTCCAACTGTGACCACAATCGCCTTGGCGCGATTCCAAAGTATCGATTACACAGCTGAGATCCACACAGAAATTCCTCCAAAACCGAATATGATCCTCTCGCAGCGGCCTTTTGTGGGAAAACATTGGGCTTTCCGGATAGCGGTGGATGGCTTCGAGACCGTAGCACCACCACAGCCTGTCTTCCGAGATTCAGCAGCACGATTCTATTGCCTGGCTAAGAACTATTTGAGGAATCGTCCAGAACGGATTCTTCTAACTATCGCCACGAGGTTGATACGGTCGGCCTCATGACCCGTATCGTGCGACACGAGTGTTTGTCCGAGCGGTCTGGTCTCTACGGCCTATCTTTGACAGTAGGATATATAAACCATAGACATCCTGCACTCCCGTTTGGAATCAGACCAGCTCTCCATCGCCTTCGAATCAATCAACTATCACTTTGCAAACCAGTCTTCCTCGAGAATCAATAAGAACGACATCAGGTACAGCTCTTCTTTCTTCCTCCTCGCTACTGAAGCAACAAAAAGAAAGCCCCCTTCCCTCCAAACTGTCTCTACTAACATGCATCCATCTCAGCAAACAACAACAAAAATGCACTTCCCCACCATCATCGCCGCCTTCCTCCTCGGAGCCGTTGCTCCTGCCTTGGCCCAACAAGCCGCCTGGTGTCCTGGTGCAGGCAGACAAGAAGTTCAACAGGGCTGCATCGACAATGGAATTAAATTGGTACGTGATATACCTACCTGTTCTTTCAATCCCTTCACCTAACCGCCTTGTCAAACTAACGCATTCCCGCCTCAAAAAGGCCAAAGATGCAGGAGTCTGTTGTGTGACTACCGCAGAAGAACGTACGAAGATGACGAATGTGTGCTATTACATCGGGAAGACTCCTCAGTTTGGAGGTGCTTGCTGGTAAGCGGCAGCGGCAGAAGTCTGATGGCAGTCTAGCTGGGGTGGCTTTGGTGAGCGTGTTCGCACAAGCTCGATGTTGAAATTGGAGAGGTGGGAAGGGGGACGCGCCGGCAGAATGGTTGGGAGTTTCAAAGTACTGTACTACCTCCCTGGTTGGTACATACTAGAACCTCTAGAGTAGAGTTGATCGTTGGCAATCAATTGAGTCTGTTGCGTCGGATTTTGTACTGTCTGTTTCTTCTTACTGAACAATTGTTAATATTGTAGAGTATAGCGCTCGCTGTCGGAGTGTGTGTCTCCACGTGTTAAGAGCTTGCTGGGTAGGCTTATTCTATGGTGAACCTCGCCCACCAAACTGACCTTCTATGATTCGCCAGTTATGGGAGACTTCTGAAGTTCCGATAGATCAACAGAGACCTGAGTCTATCTAAGCTGTTGGGGTTGTGAGGCTGTGTGTTAATTCCAGCTCGTCGATGGCGTATCTGGGCAACATGTTAGTTACGCACGTGGTAAGACGAACTAGGCCGGCAAGCCATACGCCAGCGCAGGCGGTTCGTTCAATTGGAATGGTTTGTTGATCGGCCGCGCTTTCTCGAAACTCAATCGAAGGCCGACTCTTGTCTTGACCTTAGATCGCTTTCTTGATCACCGGGG